ATAACATACACCTACTCTTAGTCACTTGTATAGGTAATATAATATTATATGTAATGTAATTTTTAAAAGATATCAAGAAAATAAAGCTATTTGTCATTCAACGTTTAATGCAAATTTTGTAAAACAACTTTTTTCCTTGAACACATTTTTTGAATTTTTTATACCTAGATGTTTTTCTCTGTATAGATTAGTTTTTCACCGCGTTACGTAATTTCGTCACGACAAGGTAGGCAGTTCAAAATAATTACTACTAGTGGTCCCGCAGTAGTCGAAATTCGACTATAATTAATTGGAATTGTAAGTTTGTACGCTATTATGATTGTATTTTATACTTCTATAATCACAAATTTCGCCAAGACTAAACTATAAAAAAATATTAATAAAGACAAACATTATTTAATCTATTCTCAATTTGACCACAGACGTCAAGAACAAAAGTTTGACAATAAATAGTATGCATGCGTGTGTGCGTCAAATACATGGTATGTAGTGTGTGTAATGTTTTATTTATTGATTTAATGTATCTTTTATGCATTATTTAAAAAAAAAAAATTAGCATTGTACACTTCTTCTCTATATTCTCTATAAGTGTGGTAAATATCATACTCCTCCGTCCGCGCAATTTTCGTAAAAAGGAATACAAAGTTTTTGCTTCACGTATTAATATATAGATTTGTTCCATATCGAGGGTAGAAAGGCTATTTGGTTTAATACATTTCGGTTATACACGACATTTATCTTTGTAATTAAAGGTCCGTTTTGTATTAGTATCAACAATTCGATATTTATAATTGGACTTCAATTACGTTTACCACATTCAAATAGCAGAAGAAGTTTTTTCCTTGATATTTTTTCAAATTTTTAAGCACTAAATAGCTGTCTTTTGAAGTTGAAAAAATGTCGCTGAACCAAATAACTAGCCTTTCACCTGTCAATATAAACCTCTTTGGTACCTACTTACGCTAGGATTTTAGAATTAGTGACGTTATGTGATCATTTAAAAATGTGATCTAATGAAAATTACACCATAATGCCGTATCATTATATAACGTCTGTGTATAAAAATAAGATCGTTCTAACCTCTTATTGAGTTACGATTTTACTCCAGAGGGGCAAGTTCTATTGTTACGGATGCACCTCAATGGTGATTAGACTAGGTTTGGAGTTTCTGTGTGTTTGCATGAGTGCAACGCCTGGCGACACAAGCAACGTGCTCTAGCCGGATCTTGTTGTGAAGACATGACCCGTTAAAAGCCACAAATATTTATGAGTTCCGGTAACCAGATATCATCGACTGTCCGCTTTTTTTTTATACCTATGCTGATAGCCTTGGGAGGCTATTTCAGCTCAAACCGGAGTGTTGCTAACACTGACCCTAGCAAGAGCAGTGCTTCGCAGAATCTACCACCGGATCTGAAACGCAACCCACTGAGAAGATCCGGCGAGAAACTCAGTGGGCTGTGCCTATGGGTTAATTCGCTCGTCGAGCCCTTCGTCACACGCGATGGGTTCGACGAGGACGGTGACCGGTGCTTGTGGTGCCTAAAAGCACCGTTAATGGATCGAGAGGATCCGTAATGACGTGCTTTGGGCCAGCGGCCACGATGAGAGGGTTCTCGTGTCGGTGTCCGCGACTATTCATGTAGTGAGTGACAAAGAAATATCTGTTAAAATGGCTTATTAATTTACGTGGGATTGCATAGTATTGTTTTCACTAATATGTGTACACCGGTCGTAAAACTCACTTATATTTGGACTAGCATTTAGATGTTGTATTATCGAAATAAATATGAAAAAAGAAACAGCCTGAAATACATATAAAATGAGAATATCACGTAATCATAGATAGGTAGGTATGTGAATTCAATCACTTACTGTAATCCTTAAAATTTTAAGTTGTTTAAATTGATTTTTTGTCAAACGAGAACAATAAAACAGTATTCAAAGTTTTGTGTCTTGATTCATAAACGAATTATGTATTATTTTAATATAACTTATAAAGATATATATTATTATATTAATATTTACGTGATAAATATTTTAATTAGAAAATACTCGGAATCTCATTAAGCATCGATTTATTTTACCGTAATTATGTATATAATTAGTTTTTGCTCATTATTTTCGTGTAGTTGTTAGTTTAAAATCCATTACTTAATTGTCTCCGTACCTTTTTTAATCATCCATTTCTACAAACCCATTGATTTGAATTGAGAATTTGCAATATATAAACGGATTGATTTGTGTTGGAGCTTATTTGAAATTATTCCTTCGTCGAGAGTGTACAGAGCGTCGAAATAAAAAGTTACAAAAATGGAATCGTGTAATTACAATTTTTCGAATTTGCCTCAGTTCAATCCTAACGAGATTCAGTGGAATCAAGAAATGAATACAAGCGACGGTGCGCCTCAAGTTCCTTCGGTAAGTAATTATTTACTTTGAAAATTTGTGTTTTGCTCTAAGAGTGTTTGCGTATTAAGTGAAAAGTTGGTCGTGTGGTTAGTGGTAGATAAGTGGTTAGCAGAGCCAGTAGACATCACCTAACCAATGCCGCCATTAACTTTGGAACACCAGGTCTAAGTCTGAATTGTATACTATAACAACTGTCTCATATTTCAAATTGGAACGAATTACAACTTCGCGCCTAAAATAGGCAGGATAGTGGTACCTATCCGTGCCTGCCCACAAGTCAAGCTACCGCCAGCGTTGTTCATAGACAACGGCAATGTTAAGACAGTGAAATGGCTTCATACTGCTGGGATGTCGTCATATATATTTTTATAAGTCTCGTCTGAAAATTTTGTTAGCAAGTTGACCCATTTAGAAATTAAAGAAATATAATAATTTTAAAAATAAACTAGCTGTATACGTCCGTTTCGCTGGACATTTAAAAGTAACATTTTTATTTCTCACCCCCACAAAGATTCTCATCATTAACGTCCCCGCCACTGGTGTAGGGAGTCCAACACTCACATAAATATGCCTATCCATTAAGAATATGCATTTTCTACAAGGATACCAAGTTTCAAGTCAATCGGGTGCATGGTTCGGTTGTTATAACGGAACATCCGTAAAAACCACTGCAGATTTATATAATATTAGTATAGATTAACCATATTGATTAATTTGTTACTACTGTTTGAGAAGCTTACAGTTCTGTGAACAATGTATTTTTGATAAACTTAACTAATTTTTGAGAACTGAAAATAATAATAAAATATATTTATTTACAGACTTCATCTTACAATCATCAGGAACAGTCTGTGATGCCGGAAAACCCCGTTCTCACGAACACAGAAGCACAACACAAAAACATCAGACTTCAGCCTCCGAATCAGCAGTCATGCTTTATTCGCGGCTCAAACGGAGCTAACGTATACATTAACAACAACACAAATCCATACATGAGTATAGTAAGTGCTCCGACATGGCCAACACAAGGTACAGGTGTTCCGCGACTTGTGAATCCAGCACAAACATGGAACAACATTGCTGTAAACAAAGTTAACAATGGAGGCGCCAAAAAACCAAAGCGTGTGAGAACAGCATTCACTAGCAACCAAATGACGGAACTAGAGCAAGAATACACTCGCACAAAGTACCTAGACCGGGCACGTCGCTTGGAGCTGGCGGAAATCTTACAGCTCAACGAGAGGACCATAAAAATATGGTTCCAGAACAGAAGAATGAAAGAGAAAAAGATTTTGACGGAGCGCTTAGAAGAGTCTGAAGAAACCAGCACGACTGCTTCTTCGCCAGATTTAGGCCCACTTCCAATATATCACAACTATACATTCAATAACCTAAGGTTTACTGAACGAAGTCAACCAGCACAACCTTATTCGATCATGCCGACCTATGGACATCAAACGTTACTTCAGCCTCCGACAGTAAATGGAATGGTTGCCAGTTCAACAGGAGCTCCCGGGACAGGGCTCCAACAACTAACGTTACAGGATTTTGAGGTTAATCAGCCTATTGGAAATTCAATGCAAGCGAGCACACCGCCCATGCCGAATACCAATAATATGTCCTGGGACTTATCCTGGATTCACAGTATGAACACCCAATATGAATATTGACCTGTGATTCAAAGTATTTCTAAACTGACGTCCGACTACAGATCGCATTGGCAGTGTAACCCAACCATATGGATCCAACGATTACTTGTGATTTAAAATTGTGTCTGTTGTCTACTGCTGACGTGATATGGCTAGTAATATCAATGGATTGATTGGTTATTAAGTTAACTGTTTATAAAGGTATATAATTTGTTCCTGGTGTTCAAAACGCGACAGGTACAAGTGCCACTTTATTCAACGATTTCTAAATTTCAACCAGATCCAGTTTTGTGCCTAATAAAACGCCTGTTCTCAAAGATTCAATAAGGCGTGTGCTGTACATTGCTGCAATCCCAATTTCTATCATCAGCGATTACAAAGAAACGCAGTTCAGCCACCGAACCAGCAGACAAGATTTATTCGCAGTTAATACGGAGTTAACGTATACATTAACAAAAATACAAATGCACCTATGAACATGCTAAATGTTCCGACATGGCCTGGACAAGGTACAGGTGTTTCGCGACTTGTGAATCCAGCACAAACATGGAACAACATTACTGTAAGCAAAGCTAACCATGGAGGACTATACAAATATGGTTCCAGAATAGAAGAATGAAAGAGAAAATATTTTGATGGAGCATTTAGAGGAGTCTGAAGAAACCAGCACGACTGCTTTTTCGCCGGATATAAGTCCGCTTCCAGTATATCACAACAATACATGCAATGTCCTAATGGTTACTGAACGAAACTAACCGCACAATCATCATCAAGGAACGGACTTCAGTCACCAAATCAGCAGTCAATATTTACTCGCAGCTCAAACGGAATTGATGTATACATAAACAACAACATAAATGCGCATATGAGTATGTTAAATGATACGACAGGGCCTATAGAAGGTACAGATGTTCCATTATACCTGAATGCAGCACAAACATGGAAAAACATTGCTATAAACAAAGTAACAATGAAGGCGCCAACAAACCAAAGCGTGTGAGAACAGCATTCACTAGCAAACAAATGGCGGAACTAGAACAAGAATACACTAGCACAAAATACCTAGACCGGGCACGTCGCTTGGAGCTAGTGGAAATTTTACAACTCAACGAGAGGACTATAAAAATATGGTTCCAGAATAGAAATATGAAAGAAAAAGAGATTTTGACGGATCACTTAGAAGTTAAACTTGAACGTGAACTTAACTCCGCCATTGCAGATCCCAAGCCCGGATGCAAAAGGAGGAGGGTTAGTCCAAGGAGTATTGACTGTAAAACTAATGTGAGCTAATCCGCGCAGTAAGGCTACCAGGAGCCGTGAACCATTCGTTTAGAAAGTCTAGCGCTGTGGGCACTTAGAAGGGTCTGAAGAAACCAGCATGACTGCTTCTTCGCCAGATATAGGTCCGCTTTTAGTTCATCACAAGTATATTCAATGACCTAATGCTTACTGAACCAAACCAACCAGGACAATCTTCTTTCTATCGTGCCGATGTATGGGCTACAAACGTTACTTCTGCCTCCGACACCAAATGGAATCGTTTAAATACAATTTTCGAATTTGCCTCAGTCAATCCTAAAGAGGTTCAGTGGAATCAAGAAATCAGTAGAAGCGACGGTTTGCTGCAAGTGCCTTCGGTAATTATTTACTTTTCAAATTTGTGTTTTGCTCGATGAGTGTTTGTGTATTTAGTGAAACGTTGGTAGTGTGGTTGGTGGTTGGTAAGTAATTAGCAGAGTCCGTAGACATCACCACACGAATGCCGTAATCAACTTTGGAACACGAATTCTAAGTCTCAATTGTATACTAAAACAACTGCTCATTTCACTCATTTAATTGGAACGAATTGCGACTTCATGCCAAGAATAGGCCGGATAGTGGTACCAATCCGTGCGGGCCCACAAGTCAAGCTAGCGCCAGGGTTTGTCATAGATAGTGACAATGTTAAGACTGTGAAATGACTGCATCCTAATGAGGAGTTGTGATATAATTTTTTTTTAAATCTCTTCTGAAATATTTCTTAGCAAAACAGTCAATTTAGAATTAAAAAAAAATTAAACTTTTTGTACGTTAAAAAATAAATTATATTGATTAATTCATTACTACTGTTTGTGAAGCTTACAGTTCCGTGAATAATTTATTTTTGATAAACGGAACAAATAGATCTGAAAATATTAAAAAAATAAATTTATTTACAGACTTCATCTTACAATCATCAGGAACAGTCTAATCTAAGCTCTGCGATGCCGGTAAGCCCCGTACTCAATAATACAGAAGCACAACACGAGAAGAACAACGCAAATGGCGCAAATGATTTTATATTTCATGATGTACATGTCCATGATGTCAGCAACACGAATAATGCAAATGGGTTATCAGCCAAAAGTATATCGATTGATCAATCGAATCCAGCATAAACATGCAACAACATTGCTATCAACAAAGCTAACAATAGAGATGCCAAAAAACCAAAGCGTGTGAGAACAGCATTTACTAGCAAACAAATGGCAGAACTAGAGCAAGAATACACTCGCATAGAATACCTAGACCGGGCACGTTGCTTGGAGCTGGCGGAAATCTTACAGCTCAACGAGAGGACTATAAAAGTATGGTTTCAGAATAAAAGAATGAAAGAGAAAGAGATGACGGAGCACTTAGAAGAGTCTGAAGAAACCAGCACAACTGCTTCTTCGCCAGATATAAGTCCACTTCCAGTATACCACAATAATACATGCAATGTCCTAATGGTTACTGAACGAAACTAACCGCACAATCATCTTCGATTATGCCGACATATGAGCCACAAGCGTTACTTAAGCTTTCGACAGCAAATGGAATCGTTGCCAGTTCAACAGGAGGTCCCGGGACAGAGCTCCAACAATTAAAGTTATAAGAGCTTGAGGTTGATCAGCCTATTGGAAATTCAATTCAAGCGAGCACGCCGCCCATCCCAAATACCAATACTATGTATCCACAAACATGGATCAACATTGCTGCAAACAAAGTTAACAGTGCAGGCGCCAAAAAACCAAAGCGTGTGAAAACAGCATTCACTAGCAACCAAATGACTGAACTAGAGAAAGAAGATACTCATAAAAAAACCCGACCGAACAAGAGGACTAGATAAATATCGTTCCAGAATAGAAGAATGAAAGAGAAAAAGACTGACGCTGTACTAAGAAGGCTCTGAAGAAACCATTATGACTTGCTACTTCGTCAAATATAGGTCCGCTTCCAGTATATCACAACATTACATTCAGTGACCTAATGTTTATTGAACGAAACCAACCAGCACAACCTTCCTCGATTGTGCCGACGCTTAAGCTACAAACATCACTTCAACCTCAGACAATAAATGGAATCGTTGCCAGTTCAACAGGAGGTCCCGGGACAGAGCTCCAACAATTAACGTTACAAGAGCTTGAGGTTGATCAGCCTATTGGAAATTCAATGCAAGTGAGCACACCGCCCATCCCAAATACCAATAATATGACCTGGAACTTATCCTGGATTCACAGTATGAACACCGAAACTGAATATTGACCTGTGATTCGAAGTATTTCTAGCCTAACGGCCGACTACAGATCACAGTGACAGTGTAAACTAACTGCATGGATTCAAGGAATACTTGTGATTTAAAATTGTGTCTGTTGTCTACTGCTGACGTGATATCGCTAGTGGTATATTTGCAATATAAATGGATTGATTGGTTATTAAGTCAACTGGTTATAAAGGTATATCAATTGTTCCTGGTATTCAAAACGCGACAGGTGCAAGTGCCACTTTGTTCAACGGGTTCCAAATTTCCACCAGATTTGGCTTTGTGACCAATAATACGCCAGTGTCTCAAAAAGTCTATAAGACGTGTGCTGTAAATTGCTACAATCCCAATTTCTATCATCAGCGATTACAAAGGAACGGACTTCAGCCACCGAATCAGCAGTCAACCTTTATTCGCAGCTCAAATGGAGCTATCCTATACATTAACCACAACACAAATGCACATAAGATCATGCTAAATGATTCGACATGGTCTAGACAAGGTACATGTGTACCACGACTTGTGAGTCCAGCACAAACATGGAACAACATTGTTATAAACAAAGTTAACAACGGAGGCGCCAAAAACCAAAGCGTGTGAGAACAGCATTCACTAGCAACCAAATGGCGGAGCTAGAGCAAGAATTCACTCGCACAAAATACCTAGACCGGGCACGTCGCTTGGAGCTGGCGGAAATTTTACAGCTCAACGAGAGGACTATAAAAGTATGGTTCCAGAATAGAAACATGATAGAAAAATATATTTTGACGGAGCACATAGAAGAGTCTGAAGAAACCAGCACAACTGCTTCTTCGCCAGATGTAAGTCTGCTTTCAGTATATCACAACAATACATGCAATGTCCTAATGGTTACTGAACGAAACTAACCGCACAATCAGCTTCGATCATGCCGACATATGAGCCACAAGCGTTACTTAAGCTTTCGGCAGCAAATGGAATCGTTGCCAGTTCAACAGGAGGTCCCGGGACAGAGCTCCAACAATTAACGTTACAAGAGCTTGAGGTTAATCAGTCTATTGGAAATTCAATGCAAGCAAGCACACCACCTATGCCTAATACCAATAATATGACCTAGGACTTATCCTGGATTCACAGTATGAACACCGAAAATAAATATCGACTTGTGATTCAAGTATTTCTAACCTGACGGCCGACTACAGATTACAGTGGCAGTGTAACCTAACCACATGGATTCAACGATTACTTGTGATTTAAAATTGTATCTGTTGTCTACTGCGGACGTGATATGGCTAGTAATATCAATGGATTGATTGGTTATTAAGTTAACTAGCTATAAAGATATATCAATTGTTCCTGGTGTTCAAAATGTGACAGGTGAAAGTGCCACTTTGTTCAATGTGTTCCAAATTTCCACCAGATCCGTTTTTGTAGCCAGTAATACCCCGGTGTCTCAATGAGTCAATAAGGCGTGTGCTGTAAATAGCTATAGTTCCAATTTGTATCATTAGCGATTACAATGGAACGGACTTCAGCCACCGAAACAGCAGTCAACATTTACTCGCAGCTCAAACGGAGTTAACGTATACATTAATTAACAGCAATAAGAATGCACATATGAACATGCTAAACGTTCCGACATGGCCTAGACAAGGTACAGGTGTACCACGACTTGTAAATCCCGCACAAACATGGAACAACATTGCTATAAACAAAGTTAGCAACGGAGGTGCCAAAAAACCAAAGCGTGTAAGAACAGCATTCACCAGCAAACAAATGGCGGAACTAGAACAAGAATACACTAGCACAAAATACCTAGACCGGGCACGTCGCTTGGAGATGGTGGAAATTTTACAACTCAACGAGAGGACTATAAAAATATGGTTCCAGAATAGAAATATGAAAGAAAAAGAGTTTTTGACGGATCACTTAGAAGTTAAACTTGAACGTGAACTTAACTCCGCCATTGCCGGTCCCAAGCCCGGATGCAAAAGGAGGAGGGTTAGTCCAAGGAGTATTGACTGTAAAACTAATGTGAGCTAATCCGCGCAGTAAGGCTACCAGGAGCCGTGAACCATTCGCTTAGAAAGTTTGGTTCTGTGGGCACTTAGAAGAGTCTGAAGAAACTAGCACGACTGGTTCTTCGCCAGAGTATAGGCCCGCTTCCAGTATATCACAACAATACATTCAATGACCTGTTTACTGAACGAAACCAACCAGCACAATCTTCTTCCTATCATGCCGACATATGGGTTACAAACGTTACTTCCGCCCCTACACCAAATGGAATCGTGTAAATAGAATTTTTCGAATTTGACTCAGTCAATTCTAACGAGGTTCAGTGGAATCAAGAAATAACTACAAGCGACTGTGTGCTGCAAGTGCTTCCGGTAATTATTTACTTTTTCAATTTGTGTTTTGCTCGAAGAGTGTTTGCGTATTTAGTGAAACGTTGGTACTGTGGTTAGTGGTTGGTAAGTAGTTAGCAGAGTCCGTAGACATCACCACACGAATGCCGCCATCAACTTTGGAACACGAGTTCTAAGTCTCAATTGTATACTATAACAACTGTTCATTTCACTCATTTAATTGAAACGAATTACGACTTCTCGCCAACAATAGGCCGGATGGTGGTACCGATAAAAAGATAAATTATATTGATTAATTCGTCACTACTATTTGAGAAACTTACAGTTCTGTGAACAATTTATTCTTGATAAACTGAACAAATAGATCTGAAAATAATATAAAAATAAAATTATTTTCAGACTTGCATCTTACAATCATCAGGAATAGTCTAATCTAAGCTCTGCGATGCCGGTAAGCACCGTACTCAATAACACAGAAGCACAACACGAGAAGAAGAACGTAAATGGCGCAAACGATTTTATATCTCATGATGTACATGTCCATGATGTCAGCAACTCGAATAATGCAAATGAGCTATCAACTAAAAGTATATCGATTGATCAATCGAATCCAGCATAAACATGGAACAACATCGCTATAAAAAAATTAACAACGGAGGCGCCAAAAAACCAAAGCGTGTGAGAGCAATATTCACTAGCAACCAAATGGCGGAATTAGAGCAAGAATACACTCGCACAAAATACCTAGACCGGGCACGTCGCTTGGAGCTAGCGGAAATTTTACAGCTCAACGAGAGGACTAGAAAAATATGGTTCCGAATAGACGAATAAAAGAGAAAAACATTTTGACGGAGCACATAGAAGAGTCTGAAGAAACCAGCACAACTGCTTCTTCGCCAGATGCAAGTCTGCTTTCAATATATCACAACAATACATGCAATGTCCTAATGGTTATTGAACGAAACTAACCGCACAATCATCTTCGATCATGCCGACATATGAGCCACAAGCGTTACTTAAGCTTTTGGCAGCAAATGGAATCGTTGCCAGTTCAACGATTCAGTTCTGTCTCGAGACAGAGCTCCAACAATTAACGTTACAAGAGCTTGAGGTTAATCAGCCTATTGGAAATTCAATGCCAGCGAGCACACCGCCCATCCCAAATACCAATAATATGTATCCACAAAAACGGAACAACATTGCTGCAAGCAAAGTTAACAGTGCAGGCGCCAAAAAAAGCGTGTGAGAACAGCATTCATTAGCAACCAAATGGCGGAGCTAGAGAAATAGCACATTCACAAAAAAGCCCCGACCGAACAAGAGGATTACAAATATATCGTTCCAGAATAGAAGAATGAAAGAGAAAAAGATTGACGGTGCACTAAGAAGGCTCTGAAGAAATCATCATGACTTGCTACTTCGCCAAATATAGGCCCATTTCCAGTATATCACAACATTACATTCAGTGACCTAATGTTTATTGAACGAAACCAATCAGCACAACCTTCCTCGATCGTGCCGACGCTTAAGCTACAAACATCACTTCAACCTCAGACAGTAAATGGAATCGTTGTCAGTTCAACAGGAGGTCCCGGAACAGAGCTCCAACAATTAAAGTTACAAGAGCTTGAGGTTGATCAGCCTATTGGAAATTCAATGCAAGCGAGCACACCACCCGTGCCGAATACCAAAAATATGACCTGGAACTTATCCTGGATTCACAGTATGAACACCGAAACTGAATATTGACCTGTGATTCGAAGTATTTCTAGCCTAACGGCCGACTACAGATCACAGTGACAGTGTAAACTAACTGCATGGATTCAAGGAATACTTGTGATTTAAAATTGTGTCTGTTGTCTACTGCTGACGTGATATCGCTAGTGTTATATTCGCAATATAGATTCATTGGTTATTAAGTCAACTGGCTATAAAGGTATATCAATTGTTCCTGGTGTTCAAAACGCGACAGGTGCAAGTGTCACTTTGTTTAATGGGTTCCCAATTTCCACCAGATCCGGTTTTGTGGCCAATAATACCCCGGTGTCTCAATGAGTTAATAAGACGTGTGCTGTAAATTGCTACAATCCCAATTTCTATCATCAGCGATTACAAAGGAACGGACTTCAGCCATCGAATCAGCATTCAACCTTTATTCGCAGCTCAGATGGAGCTATCCTATACATTAACCACAACACAAATGCACATAAGATCATGCTAATTGATTCGACATGGCCAACACAAGGTACAGGTGTTCCGCGACTTGTGAATCCAGCACAAACATGGAACAACATTGCTGTAAACACAGTTATGAATGGAGGCGCCAAAAAACCAAGGCGTGTGAGAACAGCATTCACCAGCAACCAAATGACGGAACTAGAGCAAGAATACACTCGCACAAAATACCTAGACCGAGCACGTCGCTTGGAATTGGCGGAAATCTTACAGCTCAACGAGCGGACTATAAAAATATGGTTCCTGAACAGAAGAATGAAAGAGAAAGAGATTTTGACGTAGCACTTAGAAGAGTCTGAAGAAACTAGCACGACTGCTTCTTTGCCAGATATAGGCCCGTTTCCAGTATATTACAACAATACATTGACCTAATGTTTACTGAAGAAATCAACCAGCACAATCTTCTTTCTATCATGCCGACGTATGGGCTACAAACATTACTTCCGCCCCCGACACCAAATGGAATCGTGTAAATACAATTTATCGAATTGGCTCAGTCCATTCTAACGAGATTCAGTGGAATCAAGAAATAACTATAAGTACGGTGTGCTGCAAGTGCTTCCGGTAAATATTTACTTTTCAAATTTGTGTTTTGCTCGAAGATTGTTTGAGTATTTAGTGAAACGTTGGTATTGTGGTTAGTGGTTAGTGAGTAGTTAGCAGAGCCCGTAGACATCACCACACGAATGCCGCCATCAACTTTGGAACACGAGTTCTAAATCTCAATTGTATACTATAACAACTGTCTCTCATTTCAAACTGGAACGAATAACAACATCACGCCAAAAATAGGCCGAATAATGGTACATAGCCGTGCGGGCTCACAAGTCAAGCTAACGCCAGCGTTGTTCATAGATAATGACAATGCTAAGACTATGAAATGACTGTATCCTACTGAGAAGTTGTGATATAAATTTTTTAAAAACCTCTTTTGAAAAATATTGTTAGCAAAATAGAACATTTAGAAATTAAAAAAAAACAAACTTCTGTACGATAAAAAGATAAATTATATTGATTAATTCGTCACTACTATTTGAGAAGCTTACAGTTCTGTGAACAATTTATTTTTGATAAACTGAACAAATAGATCTGAAAATATTAAAAAAATAAATTTATTTACAGACTTCATCTTACAATCATCAGGAACAGTCTAATCTAAGCTCTGCGATGCCGGTAAGCCCCGTACTCAATAATACAGAAGCACAACACGAGAAGAACAACGCAAATGGCGCAAAAGATTTTATATTTCATGATGAACATGTCCATGATGTCAGCAACACGAATAATGCAAATGGGTTATCAACCAAAAGTATATCGATTGATCAATCGAATTCAGCATAAACATGGAACAACATTGCTGCAAACAAAGTTAACAACGGAGGCGCCAAAAAAACAAAGCGTGTGAGAACAGAATTCGCCAGCAACCAAATGGCGGAACTAGAGCAAGAATACACTCGGCACAAAATACCTGGACCGGGCACGTCACTTGGAGCTGACGGAAATTTTACAGCTCAACGAGAGAACTATAAAAATATGGTTCCAGAATAGAAGAATGAAAGAGAGAAAGATTTTGACGGATCACTTAGAAGAGTCTGAAGAAACGTGCACGACTGTTTCTTCATCAGATTTAGGCCCACTTCCAGTATATCATAACTATACATTCAGTGACCTAATGTTTACTGAACGAAACCAACCAGCACAACCTTCCTCGATCGTGCCGACGCTTAAGCTGCAAACATCACTTCAACTTCAGACAGTAAATGGAATCGTTGCCAGTTCAACAGGAGCTCCCAGGATAGAGCTCTAACAACTAACGTTACAAGAGTTTGAGGTTAATTGGCCTATTGGAAATTCAATGCAAGCGAGCACACCGCCCGTGCCGAATCCCAATAACATGACCTGGAACTTATCCTGGATTCACAGTATGAACACCGAATATGAATATTAACCTGTGATTCGAAGTATTTCTAGCCTAACGGCCGACTACAGATCACAGTGACAGTGTAAACTAACTGCATGGATTCAAGGAATACTTGTGATTTAAAATTGTGTCTGTTGTCTACTGCTGACGTGATATCGCTAGTGGTATATTTGCAATATAAATGGATTGATTGGTTATTAAGTCAACTGGTTATAAAGGTATATCAATTGTTCCTGGTATTCAAAACGCGACAGGTGCAAGTGCCACTTTGTTCAACGGGTTCCAAATTTCCACCAAATCCGGTTTTGTAGCCAATAATACCCCGGTGTCTCAATGAGTCAATAAGACGTGTGCTGTAAATTGCTACAATCCCAATTTCTACCATCAGCGATTACAAAGGAACGGACTTCAGCCACCGAATCAGCAGTCAACCTTTATTCGTAGCTCAGATGGAGCTATCCTATACATTGACCACAACACAAATGCACTTATGATCATGCTAAATGATTCAACATGGCCTAGACAAGGTACATGTGTACCACGACTTGTGAGTCCAGCACAAACATGAAACAACATTGCTATAAACAAAGTTAACAACGGAGGCGCCAAAAAAACTGAAGCGTGTGAGAACAGCATTCACTAGAGCAGAACTAGAGCAAGAATACACTAGTACAAAATACCAAGACCGGGCAAGTCGCTTGGAGCTGGCAGAAATCTTACAGCTCAAGGAGAGGACTATAAAAATATGGTTCCAGAATAGAAGAATGAAAGAAAAAGAGATTTTGACGGATCACTTAGAAGTTAAACTTGAACGTGAACTTAACTCCGCCATTGCCGGTCCCAAGCCCGGATGCAAAAGGAGGAGGGTTAGTCCAAGGAGTATTGACTGTAAAACTAAGGTGAGCTGATCCGCGCAGTAACGCTACCAGGAGCCGTGAATCATTGGTTTAGAAAGTCTGGCGCTGTGGGCACTTAGAAGGGTCTGAAGAAACCAGCATGACTGCTTCTTCGCCAGATATAGGTCCGCTTTTAGTTCATCACAAGTATATTCAATGACCTAATGCTTACTGAACCAAACCAACCAGGACAATTTTCTTTCTATCGTGCCGATGTATGGGCTACAAACGTTATTTCTGCCTTCGACACCAAATGGAATCGTTAAAATACAATTTTTCGAATTTGCCTCAGTCAATCCTAACGAGGTACAGTGAAATCAAGAAATCAGTAGAAGCGACGGTTTGCTGCAAGTGCCTTCGGTAATTATTTACTTTTCAAATTTGTGTTTTGCTCGAAGAGTGTTTGTGTATTTAGTGAAATGTTGGTAGTGTGGTTAGTGGTTGGTAAGTAGTTAGCAGAGTCCGTAGACATCACCACACGAATGCCGCCATAGACTCTGGAATACGAGTTCTAAGTCTAAATTCTATACTATAACAACTGTCTCTCATTTCAAATTGGAACGAATCACAATTTCACGCCAAAAATAGGCCGGATAGTGGTACCTACCCGTGCGGGCCCACAAGTCAAGTTAGCGCCAGCGTTGTTAATAGACAGCGACAATGTTAAGACTGTGAAATGACAGCATCCTACTGAGGAGTTGTGACATATATTTTTTTAAAACCTCTTCTGAAATATTTGTTAGCAAAATAGCCAATTTAGAAATTTAAAAGAATCAAAGGTTCTGTTCGATAAAAAGATAAATTATATTGATTAATTCGTCACTACTATTTGAGAAACTTACAGTTCTGTGAACAATTTATTTTTGATAAACTGAACAAATAGATCTGAAAATAATATAAAAATGAATTTATTTTCAGACTTCATCTTACAATCATCAGGAATAGTCTAATCTAAGCTCTGCGATGCCGGTAAGCGCCGTACTCAATAACACAGAAGCACAACACGAGAAGAAGAACGCAAATGGCGCAAATGATTTTATACCTCATGATGTACAAGTCAGCAACACGAATAATGCAAATGGGTTATCAACTAAAAGTACATCGATCGTTCCTGGTGTTCAAAACGCGACAGGTGTAGTACAACTTTGTTCAACGGGTTCCAGATTCCCACCAGACCCGGTTTTGTAACCAATAATACACGGCAAATGGCGCAAATGATTTTATCTTATGCTGTACAAGTCAGCTACTCGAATAATGCAAATGAGCTATCAACTAAAAGTATATCGATTGATCAATCGAATCCAGCATAAACATGGAACAGCATTGCTATAAAAAAATTAACAACGGAGGCGCCAAAAAACCAAAGCGTGTGAGAGCAACATTCACTAACAACCAAATGGCGGAACTAGAGCAAGAATACACTCGCACAAAATACCTAGACCGGGCACGTCGCTTGGAGCTAGCGGAAATTTTACAGCTCAACGAGAGGACTAGAAAAATATGGTTCCGAGTAGACGAATAAAAGAGAAAAACATTTTGACGGAGCACATAGAAGAGTCTGAAGAAACCAGCACAACTGCTTCTTCGCCAGATGCAAGTCTGCTTTCAATATATCACAACAATACATGCAATGTCCTAATGGTTATTGAACGAAACTAACCGCACAATCATCTTCGATCATGCCGACATATGAGCCACAAGCGTTACTTAAGCTTTTGGCAGCAAATGGAATCGTTGCCAGTTCAACGATTCAGTTCTGTCTCGAGACAGAGCTCCAACAATTAACGTTACAAGAGCTTGAGGTTAATCAGCCTATTGGAAATTCAATGCAAGCGAGCACACCGCCCATCCCAAATACCAATAATATGTATCCACAAAAACGGAACAACACTGCTGCAAACAAAGTTAACAGTGCAGGCGCCAAAAAAAGCGTGTGAGAACAGCATTCATTAGCAACCAAATGGCGGAGCTAGAGAAATAGCACATTCACAAAAAAGCCCCGACCGAACAAGAGGATTACAAAAATATCGTTCCAGAATAGAAGAATGAAAGAGAAAAAGATTGACAGTGCACTAAGAAGGCTCTGAAGAAACCATCATGACTTGCTACTTCGCCAAATATAGGCCCATTTCCTGTATATCACAACATTACATTCAGTGACCTAATGTTTATTGAACGAAACCAATCAGCACAACCTTCCTCGATCGTGCCGACGCTTAAGCTACAAACATCACTTCAACCTCAGACAGTAAATGGAATCGTTGCCAGTTCAACAGGAGGTCCCGGGACAGAGCTCTAAAAATTAAAGTTACAAGAGCTTGAGGTTGATCAGCCTATTGGAAATTCAATGCAAGCGAGCACACCACCCGTGCCGAATACCAAAAATATGACCTGGAACTTATCCTGGATTCACAGTATGAACACCGAAAATGAATATTGACCTGTGATTCGAAGTATTTTTAACCTAACGGCCGACTACCGATCATAGTGACAGTGTAACCTAACTGCATGGATTCAAGGAATACTTGTGATTTAAAATTGTGTCTGTTGTCTACTGCTGACGTGATATCGCTAGTGTTATATTCGCAATATAGATTCATTGGTTATTAAGTCAACTGGCTATAAAGGTATATCAATTGTTCCTGGTGTTCAAAACGCGACAGGTGCAAGTGTCACTTTGTTTAATGGGTTCCCAATTTCCACCAGATCCGGTTTTGTGGCCAATAATACCCCGGTGTCTCAATGAGTTAATAAGACGTGTGCTGTAAATTGCTACAATCCCAATTTCTATCATCAGCGATTACAAAATAACGGACTTCAGCCACCGAATCAGCATTCAACCTTTATTCGCAGCTCAGATGGAGCTATCCTATACATTAACCACAACACAAATGCACATAAGATCATGCTAATTGATTCGACATGGCCAACACAAGGTACAGGTGTTCCGCGACTTGTGAATCCAGCACAAACATGGAACAACATTGCTGTAAACACAGTTAACAATGGAGGCGCCAAAAAACCAAGGCGTGTGAGAACAGCATTCACCAGCAACCAAATGACGGAACTAGAGCAAGAATACACTCGCACAAAATACCTAGACCGAGCACGTCGCTTGGAGCTGGCGGAAATCTTACAGCTCAACGAGCGGACTATAAAAATATGGTTCCAGAACAGAAGAATGAAAGAGAAAAAGATTTTGACGGAGCACTTAGAAGAGTCTGAAGAAACCAGCACGACTGCTTCTTTGCCAGATTTAGGCCCACTTCCAATATATCACAATTATACATTCAATAACCTAATGTTTACTGAACGAAATCAACCAGCACAACCTTATTTGTTCATGCCGACCTATGGACATCAAACGTTACTTCAGCCTCCGACAGCAAATGGAATGGTTGCCAGTTCAACAGGAGCTCCCGGGACAGGGCTCCAACAACTAACGTTACAGGAGTTTGAGGTTAATCAGCCTACTAAAAATTCAATGCAAGCGAGCACACCGCCCATGTCGAATACCAATAATATGTCCTGGGACTTATCCTGGATTCACAGTATGAACACCCAAAATGAATATTGACCTGTGATTCAAAGTACTTCTAACCTGACGTCCAACTACAGATCGCAGTGGCAGTGTAACCCAACCGCATGGATTCAACGATTACTTGTGGTTTAAAATTGTGTCTGTTGTCTACTGCTGACGTGATATGGCTAGTAATATCAATGGATTGGTTGGTTATTAAGTTAACTGGTTATAAAAGTTGTTTCTGGTGTTCAAAATGCGACAGGTTCAAGTGCCACTTAATTCAACGAGTTCTAAATTTCAACCAGATCCGGTTTTGTGGCTAATAAAACGACTGTGTCTCAAAGATTCAATAAGGCGTGTGCTGTACATTGCTGCAATCCCAATTTCTATCAGCCACCGAATCAGCAGTCAACATTTATCCGCAGCTAATACGGAGTTAACGTATACATTAACAAAAATACAAATGCACCTATGAACATGCTAAATGTTCCGACATGGCCTAGACAAGGTACAGGTGTTCCGCGACTTGTGAATCCAGCACAAACATGGAACAACATTACTGTAAGAAAAATTAACCATGGAGGACTATACAAATATGGTTCCAGAATAGAAGAATGAAAGAAAAATATATTTTGACGGATCACTTAGAAGTTAAACTTGAACGTGAACTTAACTCCGCCATTGCCGGTCCCAAGCCCGGATGCAAAAGGAGGAGGTCAAGGAGTATTGACTGTAAAACTAATGTGAGCTAATCCGCGCAGTAAGGCTACCAGGAGCCGTGAACCATTCGCTTAGAAAGTATGGCTCTGTGGGCACTTAGAAGAGTCTGAAGAAAGTAGCACGACTGCTTCTTCGCCAGATATAGGCCCGCTTTCAGTAAATCACAACAATACATTCAATGACCTGCTTACTGAACGAAACCAACATGCACAATCTTCTTTCTATCGTGCCGATGTATGGGCTACAAACGATACTTCCGCCCCTACACCAAATGGAATCGTGTAAATACAATTTTTCGAATTTGCCTCAGCAAATTCTAACGAGGTTCAGTGGAATCAAGAAGTAACTACAAGCGACGGTGTGCTGCAAGTGCTTTAGGTAATTATTTACTTTTCAAATTTGTGATTTGCTCGAAGAGTGTTTGTGTATTTAGTGAAACGTTGGTAGTGTGGTTAGTGGTTGGTGAGTAGATAGCAGAGTCCGTAGACAACACAACACGAATACCGCCATCAACTTTGGAACACGAGTTCTAAGTCTCAATTGTATACTATAACAACTGTTCATTTCACTCATTTCAAATTGGAACAAATTACAACTTCACGCCAAAAATAGGCCGGATAGTGGTACCTATCCGTGCGGGCCCACAAGTCAAGTTAGCGCCAGCGTTTGTCATAGATAGCGACAATGTTAAGACTGTGAAATGACTGCATCCTACTGAGAAGTTGTGATATATTTTTTTTAAACCTCTTCTGAAATATTTGTTAGCAAAACAGTCAATTTAGAATTAAAAAAAAATCAAACTTTCTGTACGATAAAAAGATAAATTATATTGATTAATTCGTTACTACTGTTTGTGAAGCTTACAGTTCCGTGAATAATTTATTTTTGATAAACTGAACAAATAGATCTGAAAATATTAAAAAAATAAATTTATTTACAGACTTCATCTTACAATCATCAGGAACAGTCTAATCTAAGCTCTGCGATGCCGGTAAGCCCCGTACTCAATAACACAGAAGCACAACACGAGAAGAACAACGCAAATGGCGCAAATGATTTTATATTTCATGATGTACATGTCCATGATGTCAGCAACACGAATAATGCAAATGGGTTATCAACTACAGGTATATCGATTGATCAATCGAATCCAGCATAAACATGGAACAACATTGCTGCAAACAAAGTTAACAACGGAGGCACCAAAAAAACAAAGCGTGTGAGAACAGCATTCACTAGCAACCAAATGGCGGAACTAGAGCAAGAATACACTCGCACAAAATACCTAGACCGGGCACGTCACTTGGAGCTGGCGGAAATTTTACAGCTCAACAAGAGAACTATAAAAATATGGTTCCAGAATAGAAGAATGAAAGAGAAAAAGATTATGACGGATCACTTAGAAGAGTCTGAAGAAACCTGCACGACTGTTTCTTCATCAGATTTAGGCCCACTTCCAGTATATCATAACTATACATTCAGTGACCTAATGTTTACTGAACGAAACCGACGAGCACAACCTTTTTCGATCGTGCCGACGCATAAGCTACAAACATCACTTCAACTTCAGACAGTAAATGGAATCGTTGCCAGTTCAACAGGAGCTCCCGGGATAGAGCTCTAACAACTAACGTTACAAGAGTTTGAGGTTAATTAGCCTATTGGAAATTCAATGCAAGCGAGCACACCGCCCATGCCGAATACCAATAACATGACCTGGAACTTATCCTGGATTTACAGTATGAACACCGAAAATGAATATTGTTGATCTGTGATTCGAAGAAATTCTAATCTGACTCGAGTAATCTCCGACTACAGATCGCAGTGGCAGTGTCACCCAACCGCATGGATTCAACGATTACTTGTGATTTAAAATTGTGTCTGTTGTCTACTGGTGACGTGATATGGCTAGGAATATCAATGGATTGATTAGTTATTAAGTTAACTGGTTATAACGGTATATTAATTGTTCCTGGTGTTCAAAACACGAGAGGTGCAAGTGCCACTTTGTTCGACGGGTTCCGAATATACCACCAGATCCGGTTTTGTTGCCGATAATACGCCGGTGTCTCAAAGAGTCAATAAGGCGTGTGCTGTAAATAGCTACAATCCCAATTTCTATCATCAGCGATTACAAAGGAACTGACTTCAGCCACCGAATCAGCAGTCAACATTTACTCGCAGCTCAAACGGAGCTAACGTATACATTAACAACAACACAAATGCGCATATGAGCGTGCTAAATATTCCGACATGGCCTAGGCAAGGTACAGGTGTTCCATTACACCTGAGTCCAGCACAAACATGCAACAACATTGCTATCAACAAAGCTAACAATGGAGGCGCCAAAAAACCAAAGCGTGTGAGAACAGCATTCACTAGCAAACAAATGGCGGAACTAGAGCAAGAATACATTCGCACAGAATACCTAGACCGGGAACGCTGCTTGGAGCTGGCGGAAATCTTACAGCTCAACGAGAGGACTATAAAAATATGGTTTCAGAATAAAAGAATGAAAGAGAAAGAGATTTTGACGGAGCACTTAGAAGAGTCTGAAGAAACCGGCACAACTGCTTTTTCGCCAGATATAAGTCCACTTCCAGTATATCACAATAATACATGCAATGCCCCAACGGTTACTAAACGAAACTAACCGCACAATCATCTTCGATCATGCCGACATATGAGCCACAAGCGTTACTTAAGCTTTCGACAGCAAATGGAATCGTTGCCAGTTCAACAGGAGGTCCCGGGACAGAGCTCCAACAATTAAAGTTATAAGAGCTTGAGGTTGAGCAGCCTATTGGAAATTCAATTCAAGCGAGCACGCCGCCCATCCCAAATACCAATAATATGTATCCACAAACATGGAACAACATTGCTGCAAACAAAGTTAACAGTGCAGGCGCCAAAAAACCAAAGCGTGTGAGAACAGCATTCACTAGCAACCAAATGACTGAACTAGAGAAAGAAGATACTCATAAAAAAAAACTCTGAAGAAACCACTATGACTTGCTACTTCGTCAAATATAGGTCCGCTTCCGGTATATCACAACATTACATTCAGTGACCTAATGTTTATTGAAAGAAAACAACAAGCACAACCTTCCTCGATCGTGCCGACGCTTAAGCTACAAACATCACTTCAACCTCAGACAATAAATGGAATCGTTGCCAGTTCAACAGGAGCTCCCGGGACAGAGCTCCAACAATTAACGTTACAAGAGCTTGAGGTTGATCAGCCTATTGGAAATTCAATGCAAGCGAGCACACCGCCCATCCGAATACCAATAATATGACCTGGAACTTATCCTGCATTCACAGTATGAACACCGAAAATGAATATTGACGTGTTATTAGAATTATAATATAAAAACCTCACGGCAGACTACAGGTCGCAGTGACAGTGTAACCCAACCTCATGGATTCAACGATTACTTATGATTTAAAATTGTGTCTGTCGTCGACTGCTGACGAGATGTCGCTAGTGTTATATTCGCAATATAAACGGATTAATTGGCTATTAAGTTAACTGGTTATAAAGGTATATCAATTGTTCCTGCTGTTCAAAATGCGACAAGTGCAAGCGCCACTTTGTTCAACGGGTTTCAGATTCCCACTAGAGCCGCTTTTGTAGCCAAATATTACGTCGGCGTCTTAAAGCGTCAATAAGGCGTGTGCTCTAAATTGCTGTAATGTCAATTTCTGTCATCAGATATTGCAAAGGAACGAACTTCAGCCATCGAATCAGCAGTTAACCTTTACATTAACAACAACACAAATCCACATATGTGTATGATAAGTGTTCCGACATAGCTTAGACAAGGTACAGGTGTTCCATTACACCTGAATTCAGTACAAACATGGAACAACATTGCTGCAAACAAAGTTAACAATGGAGGCGCCAAAAACCAAAGTGTGTGAACAGCATTCACTAGCAACCAAATGGCGGAACTAGAGCAAGAATACGCTTGCACAAAATACCTAGACCGGCACGTTGCTTGGAGCTGGCGGAAATTTACAAAATTACAGCTCAACGAGAGGACTGTAAAAATATGGTTTCAGAATAGAAGAATGAAAGAGAAATAGATTTTGACGGAGCACTTAGAAGAGTCTGAAGAAACTAGCACGACTGCTTCTTCGCCAGATATAGGCCCGCTCCCAGTATATCACAATAATACATTCAATGACCTGTTTACTGAACGAAACTAACCAGCACAATCTTCTTTCTATCGTTACGACGTATGGGCTACAAACGTTACTTCCGCTCTGACACCAAATGGAATCGAGTAAATAGAATTTTTCGAATTTGCCTCAGTCAATTCTAACGAGGTTCAGTGGAATCAAGAAATAACTACAAGCGACAGTGTGCTGCAAGTGCTTTCGGTAATTATTTACTTTTCAAATATTTGTTTTGCTCGAAGAGTGTTTGTGTATTTAGTGAAACGTTGGTAGTGTGGTTAGTGGTTGGTAAGTAGTTAACAGAATCCGTAGACATCACCACACGAATGCCGCCATCAACTTTGGAACACGAGTTCTAAATCTCAATTGTATACTATAGCAACTGTCTCTCATTTAAAACTGGAACGAATAACAACATCACGCCAAAAATAGGCCGGATAATGGTACATAGCCGTGCGAGCCCACAAGTCAAGTTAACGCCAGCATTGTTCATAGATAATGACAATGCTAAGACTATGAAATGACTGTATCCTACTGAGAAGTTGTGATATAAATTTTTTAAAAACATCTTTTGAAAAATTTGTTAGCAAAATAGAACATTTAGAAATTTAAAAAATCAAACGTTCTGTACGATAAAAAGATAAATTATATTGATTAATTCGTTACTACTGTTTGTGAAGCTTACAGTTCCGTGAATAATTTATTTTTGATAAACTGAACAAATAGATCTGAAAATATTAAAAAAATAAATTTATTTACAGACTTCATCTTACAATCATCAGGAACAGTCTAATCTAAGCTCTGCGATGCCGGTAAGCCCCGNTTTGTTTGTGTTCGACTTCTTTTGTGATGACCAATTTGGTGAACCAGACTGATCTCTTTTCCTTTTTTCTCGGCCGACCTCGTATGGTTTCTTTACTACCAATTTGTCGTGCTTCAAATATGCGATGTTTCCCTTTTTACGCTCTTCTTCTACTTTCGGTTGTAGTTGTTTCCTCGTTTCAAGGACGCTTTTTGAATAATCTTCTTTCATGTAGATGCCTTGTGGAAGGTTAGGTTTGTTTTTTAGTATAAGATTCTTTTTCCATGTAGTCGTAAAGGTCACTATTATCGGGCGGCTTTTAGTGGATGACGCACCGATTCTATAAATATTACTTACTTCTTGACAGTCCAGAGGGGTGCCTGCTTCTACAATCATCTTCTTTATGTATTCTACAAGATCTATTTCTCTTTTTCCATTTTCTTCGACACCGAAAAAGACTAAATTATTCTTTCGTTTATCTTTATCCAAATACTGTAGCTTTTGTTCTAATTCAGAAATTTTTAATTTGAGGTTGTTATTTCTTCAGTAAGCGATTCCAATTTTTCATTTAACACCTCCGTAACATTTATTGTCACTGTATTAGTTATTATTAGAGTTTGTTGATTTAGCTTATCTTCTAATTTTGACCATAATATTTCCATATTTTTATCCATTTTCTAGGGTAATTTGGGTTTGTGCAAATGGTAACAGCAAATGGTAGAATTTATAATTTTGATGCTTGCCACGCTATTGAATATTTCGTTGTCATTCGGCTATTCTTCTTAGTCTATGATTCGGTGTATAGGTTGGCACTATTGTAATAAATATGGCTGATCTAATTTACTTGTTGATGATCTTCCTTGTTTAGTTGTGCACACTTCGATCAAATTTGACGACGAAGAAACTGATTTCGCGCTACTACTTCTATATATTTGAACTTCTTGTGAATGTTCAGGTGAAATAAACACTTGTTTGTACTCGTATGTCACTTAATTGCACTGTTTTGTAATTATTTTATAAGACAATCACTCGATACGTGTTCACCATTAAGCAAAGCACAAAAAGAAAAAAAAAAATTAATATTAATACCACTTGAATATGTTAAAAAAAAAAATGTATTTGTCTGAATAAAGGCTTTATTATTTATTATTATTATTATATCATCTGGCTTTGGAAAGAGCACCCTTACACGGTGTTTCCTGAGCATTATGACATGTTCTTCTACAAACGAGGGTTGTGGAGAGTATTAAACGGTAGTCAGCGACTTTGCTCTGCCCCTGGCATTGCTGACATCTATGAGCGTCGGTAACCACTCACCATCAGGTGGCCATATGCTCGTCTGCCTACAAGGGCAATAAAAAAAAATATCTCTTGCCCTTCTTCTAGCCACCTGGAGTTGGCGCAACATGCTTGCTCCTTCCATACTCCTCTATCATATACCATTTCTTCGCTCACTCCCCTCTTACACATGTATGTATGCTCGTCTGCCTACAGAGGAAATAACAAACTAAATATTAAAAAAAAAAAACTTGTGAGGTTTTAATGCTACAGAAAAAAAAATTAAACAAAGAAATTTTTAAATATAAAATATTCATTTATTGTACACCGCAATAAAAATCAAACATTTCCTCATAAGTACTACAGTGTTTTAAGTGTTCACTCTAGTTAGTGTTAACGTCAGTTCGATGTAGTCGAACAGTAGTTCGATGATATTTAAATGTGTCTATCTAAATAACATGAATTTATTAAAAATAACATTATTATAAATACCAAGGTGTTTTTTTACAATAATTAATAAATAATATTAATGAACTGAAATGTGAAATTGAGTTTTACAAAGGAAAACTTACAAGTTTTTTATTCATTACAATTACAAATTAGTCGCGTGACACTACCATCTATTGCATAAAAATGAATATAATCTAAAAATATATCTGGGTCTTTATACAGTGTTTTAATACTTGTGGTATTAGCATTCGTGAAAAGTAGGTATATAATAGTATGGTATTGACATAAGCTAGACCTAATGTTTCAACAAGCTTTAAGTTTAGTGGAATGAAACAGTATCTAGGGACCCTCGCAAATACTAAATTTAACAAGAACATATATTAAACGTATTTTATTCTTAAACAAGACTACATTAGCTACAGTAGCTCACATAATCTATTAACTTATAATAACGTACTTAACATAGTGACTGTTGACAAAAACCAAAAACCAATCAATCCCTTGATATTGCGTACGATTATAATCCTAGGCAATTGTAATACTAGCGACATCACGTGAGCAGTAGACAACAGACACAATTTTAAATCACAACTATTCGGTATTCACCGCTGGCGACTATTTTAATAATGTGAATCAACACTTCCACTACGATCTGTAGTCTACCGTCAGGTTAGAAATACTTCGAATCACAGGTCAATATTCTTTTCGGTGTTCATTCTGTGAATCCAGAATGAGTTCCAGGTCATGTTATTGAGATTCAGCATGGGCGGTGTGCTCGCTTGCATTGAATTTCCAACAGGCTGATTAACCTCAAACCTGGTAACGTTAATTGTTGGAGCTCAGCCTGTTGAACTGGCAACGATTCCATTTGCTGTCGGAGGCTGAAGTAACGTTCGTAGCCCATGTGTCGGCACAATCGAAGAATATTGTGCTGGTTGGTTTCGTTCAGTAAGCTTTAGGTCACTGAATGTATTGTTACGATATACTGGAAGCGGGCCTAAATCTGGTGAAGAAGCAGTTGTGCTGGTTGCTTCAGACTCTTCTAAGTTCTCCGTTAAAATTTTTTCTCTTTCATTCTCTATTCTGGAACCATATTTTTATAGTCCTCTCGTTGAGCCGTAAAATGTTCGCCAGCTCCAAGCAACGTGCCCGGTCTAGGTATTTTGTGCGAGTGTATTCTTGCTCTAGCTCCGCCATTTGGTTGTTAGTGAATGCTGTTCTCACACGCTTTGGTTTTTTGGCACCTCCATTGTTAACTTTGGTTACAGCAATGTTGTTCCATGTTTGTGTTGGATTCACAAGTCGTGGTACACCTGTATCTTGTCTAGGCCATATCGGATCATGTAACGTAGTCATATGTGCATTTGTGTTGTTGTTAATGTATACGTTAGCTCCGTTTGAGCTGTGAATAAATGTTGACTGCTGATTCAGTGACTGAAGTCCGTTCCTTTGTAATTGCTGATGACAGAAATTAGAATCACAGCACAGCACACGCCTTATTGCCGCTTTGAGCCACCGGTGTATTATTTGGCAACTAAACCGGGTCTGGTGGGAATCTGAAACCCGTTGAACAAAGTAGCACTTGCACCTGTCGCGTTTTGAACACCAGGAACAATCGATATACCTGCAGTTGATAACCCATTTGCATCATTCGTGTTGCTGACTTGTACATCATGAGGTATAAAATCATTTGCGCCATTTGCATTGTTCTTTTTGTGTTCTGCTTGTGTGTTATTGAGTACGGAGTTTTCCGGTGCGGACATCGCAGAGATTATATTAGACTGTTCCTGATGATTGTAAGATGAAGTCTGTAAATAAATAATTTTTTTTATTATTTTCTGATCTGTTTGTTCAGTTTATCAAAATAACATTTTTCACGGAACTGTAAGCTTCTCAAATAGTAGTACCGAATAACTTGATTTAATTTATCTTTTTATCGTACAAAACATTTGATTTTTTTAAATCTCTTAACGGGGCAAACTTGCTCACAAATAAATTTTCAGACGAGGTTTTAAAAAATATATATTACAACTCCTCAGCAGTATGAAGCCGTTTCACTGTCTTAACACTGTCGTTGCCTGTGAATAACGCTGGCGGTAGCTTGACTTGTGAGCCCGTGCGGATAGATACCACTGTCCTGCCTATTTTTGGCGTGAAGTTGTAATTCGTTCCAATTTGAAATGAGAGGTAGTTGTTAAAGTATACAAAATTGAGATTTAAAACTCGTGTTCAAAAATTGATGGCGGCATTCGTGATGTGATGTCTACGAATTCTGTTAACCACTTGCCAACCTTTAACCACACGACCAACGTTTCACTAGATATACAAACTTATTCTTAGACCAAAATACAAATTTGCAAAGTAAATAATTACCGAAGGCACTTGCGGCACACTGTCGCTTGAACTCATTTCTTGATTCCATTGAACTTCGATACGATTAAATTGAGTCAAATCCTTAAAATTGTATTTACTCGATTCCATTTGCTCTCGGAGGCTAAAGTAAGATTTGTAGCTCACATGTCGTCACGTTCGAAGAAGGGCATGCTGGTTGGTTTCGTTCAGTAAACATTAGGGAATTGGATGTATTGTAGTGATATACTGGAAACGGGCCTAAATCTGGCTAAGAAGCAGTCGTGCTAGTTGTTTCATACCCTTCTAAGTGTTCCGTCAACATATTTTTCCCTTTCATTCTTCTGGAACCATATTTTTATAATCCTCTTCTTTAGCTGTAAAATTTCCGCCAGCTCCAAGCGACGTGCTCTGTCCAGATATTTTGTGCGAGTGTATTCTTGCTCTAGCTTAGCCATTTGGTTGCTAGTGAAAATTGTTCTCACACGCTTTGTTTTTTTGGCGCCTCCATTGTTAAATTTGTTTACAGCAATATCTTTCCATGTTTGTGTTAGGTTGTATTATATTATTTTCCATGATTGTCGTGGTATACCTGTACCTTGCCTAGGCCATGTCGGAATATTTAGCACGCTCATATGCGCATTTGTGTCGTTGTTTATGTATACGTCAACCCTGTTTGAGCTACGAATAAATGTTGACTGCTGATTCTGTGGCTGAAGTCCGTTCCTTTGTAATTGCTGATGACAGAAATTAGAATCACACCAATTTAGAGCACACGCCTTATTGCCGCTTTGAGCCATAGGTGTATTATTGGCAACAAAGCCGGGTGTGGTGGGAATCTGAAAGCCGTTGAATAAAGTGGCACTTGCACCTGTCGCGTTTTGAACACCGGCAACAATCGATATACCTGTAGTTGATAACCTATTTGCATCATTCGTGTTGCTCACTTGTAGATCATGAGGTATAACATCATTTGCGCCATTTGCGTTGTTCTTCTCGTGTGCTTGTTGTTGTGCTTGTGTGTTATTAGGTATGGAGTTTTCCGGTGCAGGTATCGTAGAGAATTGATTAGACTGTTCCTGATGATTGTAAGATGAATTCTGTAAATGAATATATTTTTATATTATTTTCAGATCTATTTATTCAATTTAGTTCTGTTCTTCTCAAATATGTTGTAGTTCCTCAGTAGAATGAAGCCATTTCACAGTCTTAAGATTGTCGCTATCTATGACAAACGCTGGCGCTAACTTGACTTGTAGGTCTGCACGGATAGGTACCACTATCCGGCCTCTTTTTATGAAGTCGTAATTCGTTCCAATTAAATGAGTGAAATGAACAGTTGTTATAGTATACAATTTATACTTAGAACTCGGGTTCCAAAGTTGATTGTGGCATTTGTGTGGTGATGTCTACGGTGATGCCAACCTTTAACCACACGACCAACGTTTCACTAAATATGCAAACATTCTTAGAGCAAAACACAAATTTGCAAAGTAAATAATTACCGAAGGTTCTTGCGGCGCATCGTCGCGCCGAGTCGCTTGAACTCATTTCTTGATTCCATTGAACTTCGATAGGATTAAATTCAGGCAAACTCGTAAAATTCTATTTACATGATTCCATTTGCTCTCGGAGGCTAAAGTAAGATTTGTAGCTCACATGTCGTCACGTTCGAAGAAGGTGGTGCTGGTCAGTTTCGTTCAGTAAACATTAGGCAATTGAATGTATTGTTGTGATATACTGGAAGCGGGCCTAAATCTGGCGAAGAAGCAGTTGTGCTGGTTTCTTCAGACTCTTCTAAGTGCTCCGTCAAAATCTTTTTGTCTTTCATTCTTCTATTCTGGAACCATATTTTTATAGTCGTCTTGTTGAGTTGAAAATTTTCCGTCAACTCCAAGCGACGTGCTCGGTCCAGGTATTTTGTGCGAGTGTATTCTTGCTCTAGCTCCGCCATTTGGTTGCTAGTGAATGCTGTTCTCACGTGCTTTGGTTTTTTGGCGCCTCCATTGTTAACTTTGTTTACAGTAATGTCTTTCTATGTTTGTGTTGGATTGTATTATATTATTATATTATTTTCCATGATTGTCGTGGTACACCTGTACCTTATTTAGGCCGTGTCGGATCATTTAACATACTCATATATGCATTTGTGTTGTTGTTAATGTAAACGTTAACTGCGTTTGAGCTGCGAGTAAATGTTGACTGCTGATTCGGTGGCTGAAGTCCGTTGCTATGTAATTGCTGATGACCGAAATTGGGATTATAGCAATTTAGAGCTAACGCCTTATTTCCGTTTTGAGGCACCCGTGTATTATTGGCAACAAAACCGGATCTGGTGGAAAATTTGGAACCCGTTGAGCAAAGTGGCACTTGCACCTGTCGCGTTTTGAACACCAGGAACAATTGATATACCTCTATATCTAGTTAACTTAATAACCAATCAATCCATTGATGTTTCGAATATAACACTAGCGATATCACGTCAGCAGTAGACAACAAACACAATTTTATGAATCCATGCAGTTGGGTTACACTGCCACTGTAATCTGCAATCGGCCGTCAGGTTTGAAATGCTTCGAATCACTTTTCGGTAGGCAGCGGCTTGGCTCTGCCCCTGGCATTGCTGAAGTCCATGGGCGACGGTAACCACTCACCATCAGGTGGGCCGTATTCCCGTCTGCCTACAAAGGCAATAAAAAAAAAAAGAATCACAGGTCAATATTCACTCTCGGTGTTCATACTGTGAATCCAGGATGAGTCCCACGTCATGTTATTGGAATTCGGCACGGGTGGTGTGCTCGCTTGCATTGAACTTCCAGTAGGCTGATTAACCTCAAACTCTTGTAATGTTAATTGTTGGAGCTCTGTCCCGGGAGCTCCTGTTGAACTGGCACCGATTCCATTTGCTGTCGGAGGTTGAAGTAACGTTTGTAGTCCATGCATCGGCACAACCAAAGAATATTGTGCTGGTTGGTTTCGTTCAGTAAGCATTAGGTCACTGAATGTATTGTTGTGATACATTGAAAGCGGGCCTAAGTCTGGTGAAGAAACAGTTGTGCTGGTTGCTTCAGACTCTTCTAGGTGCTCCGTTAAAATCTTTTTCTCTTTCATTCTTCTATTCTGGAACCATATTTTTATAGTCCTCTCGTTGAGCTGTAAAATGTCCGCCAGTTCCAAGCGACGTGCCCGGTCCAGGTATTTTGTGCGCGTGTATTCTTGCTCTAGCTCCGTCATTTGTTTGCTAGTGAATGCTGTTCTCACACGCTTTGGTTTTTTGGCGCCTCCATTGTTAACTTTGTTTATAGCAATGTTGTTCCATGTTTGTGCTGGATTCACAAGTCGCGGAACACCTGTACCTTGTGTTGGCCATGTCGGAGCACTTAACATACTCATGTGTGTATTTGTGTTGTTGTTAATGTACACGTTAGCTCCGTTTGAGCTGCGAATAAAGCATGACTGCTGATTCGGTGGCTGAAGTTTGAAGTTTTTGTGTTGTGCTTCTGTGTTATTGATAACGGGGTTTTCCGGCATCGCAAAACTTAGATTAGACTGTTCCTGATGATTGTAAGATGAAGTCTGTAAATAAATATATTTTTTTATTATTTTCAGATCTATTTGTTCAGTTTATCCAAAATACATTGTTCACAAAACTGTAAGGTTCTCAAACAGTAGTGATGAATTAATCAATATGGTTAAGTTATTTTTAAGTTTATTATATTATGTCTTTAATTTCTAAATGGGCAAACTTGCTAACAACTAACTTCTGAAGTCGTGGTGGCCTAAAGGATAAGATGTCCGCTGCATTCCTGTTGAGCGATGCACCGGTGTTCGAATCTCAAGCGGGTACCAATTTTTCTAATGAAATACGTACTTAACAAATGTTCACGCTTGACTTTCACGGTGAAGGAATAACATCGTGTAATAAAAATCAAACCCGCCAAATTATGATTTGTGTAATTACTGATGGTAGGACTTCTTGTGAGTCCGCGCCGGTAGGTACCATCACCCTGCCTATTTCTGCCGTGAAGCAGTAATGCGTTTCGGTTTGAAGGGTGGGGCAGCCGTTGTAACTATACTTGAGACCTTAGAACTTATATCTCAAGGTGGGTGGCGCATTTACGTTGTAGATGTCTATGAGCTCCAGTAACCACTTTTAACACCAGGTGGACTGTGAGCTCGTTTACCAATATAAGCAATAAAAAAAAAAATCAGACGAGGTTTTAAAAAATATACATTGCAGCTCCTCAGCAGTATGAAGCTATTGCACTGTCGTAACATTGTCGTTGACTATGAACAACGCTGTCGGTAGCTTGACTTGTGGGCCCGCACGGATAGGTACCACTATCCTGCCTATTATTGGCGCGAAGTTGTAATTCTCCTCAATATGAAATATGAAACAGTTGTTATAGTATTCAAACTTAGACCTCGTGTTCCAAAGTTAATGGCGGCATTCGTTAGGTGATGTCTACGGGCTCTGCTAACCACTTACCACACGATCAACGTTTAATTAAATACACAAAAATTCTTAGAGCAAAACACAAACTTGCAAAGTAAATAATTACTTACCGAAGGAACTTGAGGTGCACCGTCGCTTGTATTCATTTCTTGATTCCACTGAACTTCATTAGGATTGAACTGAGACACATTTGAAAAATTGTATTTCCACGATTCCATTTTTGTCAGTTTTCGTTTCGGTGTTCCACACACTCACCACGAAGGAATAATTTCAAATAAGCTCCTACACAAGCGAACCTGTTTATATATTGCAAATTCTCAATTCAAATCAATGGGCTTATTAGAAATGGATGATTAAAAAAGGTTCGAAAGCAATTAGATAATGGATTTTAAACTAACAAGTACACAAAAATAATTTACAAAAACTAATAATACACATAATTACGGTAAAATAAATCGATACTAAATGAGATTCGTGTATTTTCCAATAAAAATATTTGTAACATAATATTAAAATAATATATAAATTCATAATTCGTTTATGAAAACACAAAACTGAATATTATTTTATTGTTCTCGTATGACAAAAGTGAAATTAAACAAATAAACATTTTAAGGATTACAGAAAGTGATTGATTTCACAAACATAACTATGATTTTAAAATATTTTCATTAATATTCTAGATTTACGTGACGTTGTAATTTTATACGTATTTCAAGTAGGTACTTCGGTCCTTTGTTTTCTATTTATTGATAATAGAAAATGTAAATGCTCGTCCAAACAGCTATCTTAAGTAATCTCATTTAGTCACGATAATAAAAAGAACTATAATGATTTCATAAAAATATTCATAAAACCGTTTCTTCTTCTTATCCTTATCCCACATCATGTGGTCAGCGCAGGTACTTGGCGTGAGTTTTACAACCGGCGTAGACATAGTTACAACAATACTATGCAATCCCACGTAAATCATTATGTCATTATATTAGATACTTCGTTGTCATTACACGAATAGTCGCGGACAGTCGATGATATTTGGTTACCGGATCTCATAGATATTTATGTGTTTTTAATGGATTGTGTTTTCTTATCAAGACGTTCCACCTAGAGAACTAGAGCACGTTGCTTATGTCGCTGGGTGAAGGTAGGATTACTGGTGGCCCTGAGGCCTTTCCAGTTTCACCACAGGTAAGCGAGCAAAGAATCAGTCAGGAGGGGTGGGGTTTGCTAACAGCTACCTTCGTGTCTCTAAGGGAGGCCTAACAACTTATATGTAGCTGCTTCCCTAATGAATCTACTACCGGATCGGAATCTTGACCCGTTGAGAAGATCCGGCGAGAAACTCGGCGGGCTAATGCTTAAGTTAGGTTGCATGTCAAATTCTTTGCCAAGTTCGACGAGTACGGCTACTGGGATTCCTAATCCTGCTCCTATTGTTAGAGCTGAAGGTAACTAATGCAACAGTTATTGGATCTGATGGATCCGTAAGGACGTGTCTAGGGTGTCAACGGTGATTGATTCCTGCGCGAACAAGATTCGGGGAGCAGTCAGTGGCGGTAACGATAAGGCGATTGAAGATATGACGAATAGCCTTATCGAAATACCGTTCCGACGCTGACTTCATGTGTTTGCATATCGATTCAAGGCCTAGATCGTCATGTAGATCAATGTTCTTAACGAACCACGGAGCTCCGACGGCTAACCTGCAAAAACGTGATTGGAGGGCTTGGGGGGTATCTATGTGTATGCGGGCCGCATGAGCAAACACCACACTTGCGTACGTCATGATGGGTCGTATGCAATTTTTGTAAAGCGTCACCTTGTTCCAAAGGGACATTTTATTTCGCTTACAGATGGTAGGGTAGGGTCTGCCAAGAATAAACGCGGCATGGTCGCGGAATGATTTTATATGTCACCGATGCATCCAGGGTGATTCCCAGATGCTGGACCTTCGGCGATCGGGGGAGTGAGGTTTCTACGCCTAATGCGGGAGAAGATATGGGTTGAGTTCCTCCAGTGAAAGAGCACCGCTGTGCTTCTCGCTAGGTTGATGTCTAGCCGCCATTTTCGAAACCATTGTCCGAGGGTTACGTGCTCTGGGGCTTCCTCGCGATTAAGGATTTGTTTCTACTCAAGTAGTAAGCGGTCGTGTCGTCGGCGAATAATGATAAACGGGTCGGCGGCGACCGGGGAATGTCGTTAATAAATAAACTAAATAGATGCAGCGATAAGGCGGAGCGATAATTGTCCCTGTTGACAAACGAGCATACGGCCCACCTGATAGTGAGTGGTTACCGTCGCCCATAGACTTCAGCAATGCCAGGGGCAGAGCCAAGCCGCTGCCTACCGAAATACAAAATACAATAATACAAAATAAAACGGATCTTTAATTACAAAGATAAATGTCGCGTATTAACCGAAATGTCACTTAAACCAAAAAGCCTTTTACTCCTCGATATGGAACAAATAGTACTTGTTTTGAACTGCCTACGTTGTCGTGACGAAATTACGTAACTTACGTAAAAACCTTTTTAGTAATAAGAAACAAAAAAATACATTCATAGAAATTCGATGAGAAATACAAAATATAGGGCTCGAGAAAAAAGTTTTAATTACAAAATCCTAATTGAACGGTGAGTCATGAATAGCTTTATTTCCTTGATAATTTTTTTCAATTACATTGCTTATATTGGTATACAGTTACTTAGGCTAGGTTTATATTAATGCTCCTTAGAGAATATTAGATTACTTCACACGATAAAACTCATTTCGACTTTTATTAGGTGTTATATTCGTATATGTATTACTGGTAGAATCCTGCTTAATTTAAACTCCAATCAATTGTGTATTGATGTTAGGGCAAGGCCACACGCTCTGTCAATACATTGAAATGTGGAATGTATCATCAGGTCGAATTTCTATCGAATAATTAAAAGTTTCTTTTCAGTTTTCTTGGTATGTAAACAGGCAAGACTAACTGCTTCACGGCATAAATAGGCAGAGTGGTGGTTGGTACCTACCCGTGCGGACTCACAAGACGTCCTACCACCAGTAATTAAATTATAATTTCGCGGGTTTGATTTTTATTACACGATGCTATTCCTTCACCGTGGAAGTAAATTGTGAACATATTATTTTGTTCATGGTCTGATAATTACTTGGTACCGTATGGGCAGTAAATTAGTACAATCTACGCTATAACTAATAAAACAAAGAGCGAAGATAAAACTAAATGTGAACTGTTTCGTCTTTTCTCATATATTAAATAACTACCGACCCGCCCTCGATAACTATCGACCCGCCCTCGCTTCGCTTCGGAAACTGTATTTTATTATTGATTTCTCCACTATTTAATGGATGTTATTATACATATAAATCTTCCTCTTCAATCATTCTATCTATTAAAAAAAACCGCATCAAAATCCGTTGCGTAGTTTTAAAGATTTAAGCATACATAGGGACAGACAGATATAGGGACAGAGAAAGGGACTTTGTTTTATACTATGTAGTGAAGATGTACACCTAGATTTAGCGGGCGGTTTTTTAATTAAATTAAACAGCGGCTTGGTTGTGCCCCTAACATTGCCGATGTCCATGAGCCGGTGGACGGCATACTTGTATGCCTGCAAAGGCAATAAAAAATCAAATTACCACAAATAACATGTTTACAATGAGCTTGTTTACTTAGTTCTAGCCGTACAATACTTCGGTCCTAATCATGTTTGTTTCTTAATTTCTGTTTACATTTGAAGAATAGGTTCGCCACTGCATTGTCCTATCAAAATAATTTAGAATAGCGATTAGTGGTAAAACAGAAAAAAACTTTTGCAAAAAATATTATAACTTATAAGTCTTTTCCTCTAGTTTTGAGATGTTGGAGATGTTCACAATAAATAAAAAATCATAAGACACAAGTGTTCTTTTAAGTCCTAGGTCACTTGGTTCAGACGCGTCTAAGCTTTTGTGCATGTTCAATTTTTTGATGATGAAAAAACACCTCGTAAGACTCTGACTGTCTCACCTCGATCTTCCTTTGGAACGCATGTCAATTAAAGCGTTGGCGCAATCACCGCTTTAGTCATAAAACTCATATACTAAACTTAAAAATATATCGCCCTGTCGCTTCAGCTTTTAGTGTAACGTTACCCGGGTTCTTACCAGGATACGGACAAAATACTTTAGATTTCTTTTGTTCACTTCGCGGTAACAGTGTCATGTGTCAACAATAAATAATAGTTTACAAAAACTAACAAAATACGCTTTTATAGAAAATTCAACTAAAAAATAGAGAATTAAATTTTAATAAGTTTGAATTAAAAATAGTGTAAGAAATAATGATTTTATTGTAAAAAAGCGTGTAAAAAAGCGTATACCCTGGTCACCGCGACCCAATTAGCCCTTTAGAATTTCCTTAGAAATGAAATACTTTGTAATTCAGTTTTATATTATTTATAAAAAGAAGATTACGTGACCTTCTGTGTGATTTTCGTATCTAAATAACCTAGCCTATTATAAGAAAGATTGAATTTGTTCTAACAAATATCAACCATTCGATAGGGTTGCCACAGAATGAGATCTAGCAGCAAAAAGAAACGCAGAGGCGAAATCAATAAATCAAACATGCCACGGAAACAACCCTGATTCTGTTCGCGAACGTTTAACGGGTTTATTATAATATTTATGTTTATGTTTTCATTATATTTTCGAAAACTGTTTTGTTTATGAAAGAGAGAATGAAGAAATTATTCACATAATAAATTGTTGAGTATTCGATGGTATTTAATACTTTTGTTACCGAAAATTGAATACTGAATACTGAATAATCTAGTGATTTTTTATAATTCTGGCAGTAATTATTAGGCAGTTGACTTAATTTTGTGTCAGAATTTGTAGAAACATAGGTATAATATACAACACAATTAAACAATTTTTATTAAGTCTAACTTTCGAGAACTCAACACAATTTTAATTAAATGTATTGGATTTTTGTAACTTAGTTTATAAAATTTCCTTTAAAATTGTTAAATTTACTGATAACGATTTACCGTAATTATCTTTTTAATTAGGTAGGTTCATCATTATTATGTTGCAATTATGTAATGGTCTCTTATTAAAATTGTGTACCGTAATGAGTACATCTATTAGTGTAGGTCCAAATCATTTCAATGGAACTGTTCGATTAATGTATCGTACGTGCATTCTTTCGTAATTCTTAACATTTTAAAATAAATTTTTAGAATATATTTTTTTAATTATATTTATACAATTATATTGACTTCGACTATTACAAAACTACTCAAGTAATTTGAACTTCAGAGAACATTCTTGAAAGTTTCAATCTTACTAGAATTTATATTATTTAGATATATTATGGTAATCTACTTAGTCCAGCCATAAGTTCTGTTACAAACGAAAATGCATTTCATGCATATAACATAAAAAAATTGCATTTTATGATATTATATATATACATACAATAATATTATTAAAATTAAAAGGAGAGAAAAAAAGCAGGGCCAGTATTCAGCTATTATAAAGTCCGGAACGTTGGTTTCTTGCTGGAAAGTCCACGGTATATTTTTAAAAAGTTTATTGCTGAGAGGTTTTACAACATGATCCAAGACGTGATATCGTGGAGCCTCTGGGTCTGCGGAGGGACTTCGGTTCCCTCTGTATTTTATACCGTATGTTCCATGGGGAGTGCTCTGAGGAATTGTTCGAGATGATACCAGCATCTCGTTTTTACCATCGCACCGCCCGCCACCGGAGTAGAGTTCATCCATACTACCTGGAGCCACTGCGGTCATCCACAGTGCGTTTCCAGAGATCTTTTTTGCCACGTACCATCCGGCTATGGAATGAGCTCCCCTCCACGGTGTTTCCCGAGCGCTATGACATGTCCTTCTTCAAACGAGGCTTGTGGAGAGTATTAAGCGGTAGGCAGCGGCTTGGCTCTGCCCCTGGCATTGCTGAAGTCCATGGGCGACGGTAACCACTCACCATCAGGTGGGCCGTATGCCCGTCTGCCTACAAAGGCAATAAAAAAAAAATACACTTTGGCTGAAGTATTCACTCCATTTTCACAAAAAATGTAGTTTTGTGACTCCTTGATAAGACACCCCCCAAACCATCACCGACGCAGGATGATGACCACTTATGTAGCTTCTTTAGAACTGCGAGCGTACACTTTATCATTTTGCTTATTGTAGTGTTCTTCAATCGTGAAAATGTTTTCATTGGTAAAGAGTATATTTCTGTTCCTGTTGATTTAGGGCATGTCCTGTATATCGACGATAAGCAAAGAGCTTCAGGTCTTATTTTATAATACGCGACAAAGTCCTAGTGGGACTATTCATTTCTCGCGATAATATTTTTTGCTTCCTAATGGGATTTCAACGAATTTTGACTTTAGCAGCATTAACGGCCTTTGTAGTTCTAGCAGAACGCGGCCGATCTTTTCTAGCCTTCGACACACGAAGTGTTATTGTATCTGTTGACAGTTTCGAAGTCGTCGTGGCCTAACGGATAAGACGTCCGGTGCATTCGTGTTAAGCGATGCACCGGTGTTCGAATCCCGCAGGCGGGTACCAATTTTTCTAATGAAATACGTACTCAACAAATGTTCACGATTGACCTCCACGGTGAAGGAATAACATCGTGTAATAAAAATCAAACCCGCAAAATTATAATTTGCGTAATTACTGGTGGCAGGACCTCTTGTGAGTCCGCACGGGTAGGTACCACCGCCCCGCATATTTCTGCCGTGAAGCACTAATGTGTTTCGGTTTGAAGGGTGGGGCAGCCGTTGTAACTATACTGAGACCTTAGAACTTATATCTCAAGGTGGGTGGCGCATTTACGCATTTAGATGTCTATGGGCTCCAGTAATCACTTAATATCAGGTGGTCTGTGAGCTCGTCCACCCATCTAAGCAATAAAAAAAAAGTCGCATCTGCGATGACGGTAACGTGAGATGAGACGTATAGCGCACTAAACGCTTCGTCATATTTTAGTTGCCTCGGCCGTGTTTGGTCCATGGCGAGATTCCATTGCGAGATGTTGAGTAACAAAGATAGAAAAAAGGGAGAGCGAGTAAATTTTCATTATTATTTGTTTGTCAGTCTGTTTACGAATTATTTATTTAAGTCATTATTTCAGTTCATTATTACTATTTAGTACCGCTGGTTATGAATAGCCAGAGAATTAGAATTCAAAAATTCTCAGTTAATTTTCTCTGTATGGATCAATCTTCCACTACGTTACGTAATTTCGTCACGTCGAAGTAGCCAGTTCAAAATAACTACCATTTGTTCCACATTTTTGGTACCTCCTTACCATTAGCTTTTAGAAATAGTGACGTTTTGTGATCGTTTAAAAATGTGACCTAATGAAAATTATACCATTATGCCGTATCATTATATAACGTCTGTGTATAAAAATAAGATCGTTCTAACCTCTAATTGAGTTACGATTTTACTCCAGAAGGGCAAGTTCTATTGTTATGGATGCACCTCAATGGTACCTAGACTAGGTTTGAAATTTCTGTGTGTTTGGTGAGTGCAACGTCTGGCGAAGCGACGCAGGCAACGTGCTCTATTTCTCTAGCCGGATTTTGTTATGAAGACATGATCCGTTAAAAATACACAAATGTCTATGAGATCCAAGTAACCAGTTATCATCGACTGTCCGCGACTATTCATGTAGTGACAACGAAGTATCTGATATAATGACATAATGATTTACTTGGGATTGCATAGTATTGTTGTAATTAATATGTGTACGCCGGTTGTAAAACTCACGCCAAGTATCTATGCAGCATGATAAGAGGACATGCTGCGCCGACCTTACATGGTGTAGGATAAGGATAAGAAGAAAAAGAAGAAGAAGAAACGCTTGTATGAATATTTTAATGAAATCATTACAGTTTTTTCTGTTTACGATCACGTAATCATAAAAGAGATTACTTTAGATTTATGTTTGGACAAACATTTAGATTTTGTATTATCGAAATAAATATGAAAAAAAAAGAAACAACTTGAAATACATATAAAATGACTATGTTACGTAATTCTAAAATATTAAAGAAAATATTTTAAACTTATAGGTATAGTATGTTTTTCAAATCAATCACTATCTGTTATCCTAAAATATGTTACTCTTTTAATTTGGCTTTTGTCATACGAGAACAATAAAACAGTGTTCAAAGTTTTGTGTTTTGATTCATAAACGAATTATGTACTATTTAAATATTATTTTAGTATTTTTACGTTATAAATATTTTAATTAGAAAATACACAAATCTCATTATGCATCGATTTATTTTAAAGTAATTATGTGTTTAATTATTTTTTGAACATTATTTTCGTGTAGTTGTTAGTTTAAAATCCATTATCTAATTGTCTCCGAACCTTTTTTAATTATCCATTCTTACAAACCCATTGATTTGAATTGAGAATTTGCAATATATAAACGGGTTGATTTGTTTGGGAGCTTATTTGAAATTATTCCTTCGTGGAGAGCGTGCGGAACACCGAAACAAACAATTTACAAAAATGGAATCGTGTAAATACAATTTTTCGAATTTGCCTCAGTTCAATCCTAACGAGGATCAGTGGAATCAAGAAATGCGTTCAAGCGACGGTGTGCTGCAAGTGCCTCCGGTAATTATTTACTTTGCAAATTTATGTTTTGCTTTAAGAGTGTTTCCTGTATTTACTGACGCATTGGTCGTGTGCTTAGTGGTGGTAGTTAGTACATCACCACACGAATGCCGCCATCATCTTTGGAGCACGACTTCGAGGTCTCAATTGTATATTATAGCAACTGTTTCACATTTCAAATTGGAACGAACTACAACTTCACGCCACAAATAGGCAAGATAGTGGTACCTATCCGTACGGGCTCACAAATCAAGCAACCGCCAGCGTTGTTCATAGACAACGACAATGCTAAGACAGTGAAATGGCTTCATACTACTGAGGCACTGCTACCTACATATTTTGACAAGAACATATAGATCTGAAAATAATATAAAAATATATTCATTTACAGAGTTCATCTTACAATCATCAGGAACAGTCTAATCAATTCTCTACGATACCTGCAACGGAAAACTCTATACTCAATAACACACAAGCTCAACAACAAGCACACGAGAATAACAATGCAAATGGCGTAAATGATTTTAGACCTCATGATGTACAAGTCAGCAACACGAATGATGCAAATGGGTTATCAGCAACAGGTATATCGATTGTTCCTGGTGTTCAAAACGCGACAGGTGCAAGCGCCACTTTGTTCAACGGATTTCAGATTTCCACCAGGTCTGGTTTTGTGGCCAATAATACGTCGGTGCCTCAAAGTGTCAATAAGACGTGTGCTCGAAATTGCTGCAATTCCAATTTATGTTATCAGCAATTACAAAGGAACAGACTTCAGCCACCGAATCAGCAGCTAACCTTTATCCGCGGCCCAAACGCAGCTGACATATACATAAACAACCATCCAAATGCGCATATGAATATGTTAAGTGTTCCGACATGGCCTAGACAAGGTACTGGTGTTCCACAACTTGTGAATCCATCACAAGCATGGAACAACATTGCTATAAACAAAATTAATAATGGAGGCGCCAAAAAACCAAAGCGTGTGAGAACAGCATTCACTAGCAACCAAATGACGGAACTAGAGCAAGAATACACTCGCACAAAATACCTGGACCGGGCACGTCGCTTGGAGCTGGCGGAAATCTTACATCTCAACGAGAGGACTATAAAAATATGGTTCCAAAATAGGCGAATGAAAGAGAAAAAGATTTTGACGGAGCACTTAGAAGAGTCTGAAGAAACCAGCACGACTGCTTCTTCGCCAGATTTAGGTCCGCTTCCAGTATATCACAACAATACGTTCAGTGACCTAATGTTTACTGAACGAAACCAACCAGCACAATCTTCTTCGATCATGCCGATGTATGGGCTACAAAGGCTACTTCAGCCTCCGACAGCAAATAGAATCGTTGCCAGTTCAACAGGAGCTCCCGGGACAGAGCTCCAACAACTAACGTTACAAGAGTTTGAGGTTAATCAGCCCATTGGAAGTTCAATGCAAGCGAGCACACCGCCCGTGCCGAATCCCAATAACATGACGTGGGACTCATCCTGGATTCACAGTATGAACACCGAAAACGAATATTGACCTGTTAACGTTGTGTTGATGTGTGTGTTGTGTTCAAGTGTCATTATACATTATTATATAGTAGCTATAGATAAGTAATGTTCGACATAGCATAGCAATTTCGGTTTTTAATTTTTTAGAATTCCTTTAATGTTATTGTTTTCCTAGTTCATATTTTATAATGTAGTTTTGTTTAAGAATTGAATTAGTTTAAGATCTGTTCTTGTTAAATGTAGTATTTGCAAGGGCCCCTAGATACTGTTTCGTTCCACTAAAGCTAACGCTTGTTGAAACAGTAGGTCTAGCTTTTACGTCAATCCCATTGTCATTTTTCCGTTGTAAAGCTCAATGTCACGTTTCAGTCTATTGATAGGTAATATTATTTGTTTGTAGCAAAAACACTTTTGTATTTATGTTAATGTTATTTTTAGTAAATGTATATTATTTAGATAGATAGGCCCTATGTAAATATCATCGAAGTAGTTAGTGAACCCTTAGAACGTAGATAATCTTACTTCATATGATTAATTTATTTTGTGTACAATAATTATATGTTTTATTTTTAACAATTGCTTTTTTTCATTTTCCTCCTATAGCATTCAAAAGCTTGTAAGTATTTAGAAAACGTTCAATGAGACTTCAAACGATCTACTCTGTTGTTTCGCGGCAAAGTAAAGAGAACTGTGGCGTCACGCACACATAACAAATAAGAAGTATTACATAGTCAGTTTCAATTAAAAAAAAATACACAGAAGAGTATGCAACAAAACGGCCTAATTACGGAAACATGAATTTGCTATCAGCACAATGAAACCGGAAGTCTTCAGTTGTGAAAACTAGAAAGAACACAACAGCGGTTATGGTTTCGTTCGAAAAAAAATTCAGACAGGCCCCGCTGAGGTAGTAGTATTGACCAACGGTACGACGTCGTACTGGCAACCCAGGTTTATGCTAAGGACCGTGATGTTCAATAAATAGATGAGCCTCATATGCTGACGCGGGGACGTTTGAAGCCTACGTGCGGCTCCAGTACCCAAAATAGTGCTGTTAGAAGTATTCAATTTCGTAGTTCATTTCGTTAGTATTCTTCGAATGTCAGTAACTCGTCTGTGATTCGTCAAATTTCCTATTTAAGTCTTCCATAATACCGAGATGCAATATCAATTTAGTTTCTTGGAATATATCTTAAATTGTAGTAGGTATTTAACAAAATTTACTTAGCTAGGTTAATTTTGATTGGAATAATTAGAAATAAAATGTACTAAGTTGATACCGGGCACGCTGTAAAGCCGTCTATTTTTTAAGATGACAAACAAAATAACAATATTATTGATTATTCGCTAATTGAAATAATAGCCATTAATATCATCTATCAAGTTATAAATTATTTTTCCAGTTTTGAACTCAAAATTTAATGTCCGAAAATGAACGTTAAAATATCAACGGTGATTAGTTAATAATGGACTATTAGAAATTATTTTTCTATCACCAGTATAAATAGAGGACAAGCGGTTTTCTCATCATAGTATTGTACTATGAGATCTTGAAAATAACGATAATAACGATGAGCAGTTACTACAGAAGCAGAATGAGTGAGTCCATAGAAAGTTTCCGATACAGTGGCAAATTCAAAAATCAACAGACAGTGAGAAAAGTAAGCCTGCATTTAGTGTTAGAATACGATTGATTTACATCGTAAATTATGGTAAGCACATTCCGTTTATCAATCTCTCAACAGAGCCACAACGATCGCGAGTTAGTTAATTTACTCAAGATAAAGCCGCTGTAACTATACTTGAGATCTTAGAACTTATATCTCAAGGTGGGCGGCGCATTTACGTTGTAGAAGTTTATGGGTCCAGTAACCACACTTTTCGTTTCCATGTAATAGTCAAATGTAAATTATAATTTTCAAAATTTGTCTAATTAAATCTTTATAATAAGTTATTGAATTCATAAACTGTATATATGTAGTTTGAACAAAATATCTTTTTGCATTTTCTTCTTGCATGTTATTTTTTATATAATTAGTGTCTTATATAAAACGTAGTAGGTTATTAATATAATTTATACCATTAATCAATGCTGATATCGTAATTTACATGTTTTTAAAATATTACCTACTGAATTAATGATATCCAAAATTACTATGCTTAATTTGTTGTTCAGATCAGATTCTCTGAAAGGGAAGGGGTATAAAACAATATTGTTAATTTTATCAAGTTCGAATGCTTTTTTTTTATTCTGATAGTAAGTAATGCACCCTAGGGTTGTTCGTTTCTTGCACTAGGATAAGATCTTCTATTTCGAACAGACGATGCGTAATGCATTTTTAATTTAAAAAAAAAAACCGATATTATTATATAATAAAGACTTCCATTACAGTATGTATTAATGTGGCTTTGTAAATGATTGTCGGAGCGTGCTCTTCCAATCAATAGGTGTCGTTGTATGCTATTCTGTCAATAATTTGATTAAAATGTGAAATCTAGAAAATGATTACTTCAACTTCGCAATATTTTGTTTTTATAAAAAATAGAAATATTTTGACTCTACTTTTTACGTACCTTTTTAGTTATATTTGTTAACAAGACTTTATTTGTTTAACAGATGGAGCGTTTGGAACATGAATCTATTTCAATAAAAAAAGTAAAAAGGATGAGGAGCGCTTTTACAACAGACCAAGTAAATTATTTGGAAAAACTATTCAAGAAGTTTCCTTACGTAAACAGTACGCAACGCAAAGTGGTCGCATTCAAATTAAACATTTCAGACAGAGCTGTTAAAATATGGTTCCAAAATAGAAGAATGAAAGAAAAGAAAGAATTGTGTAGCAAAGAAGACTTTGAAGAACAGTTTGATCATCCTAATGATTATTTCATTACGGAGCAAATGAGCAATGCACATACATTAGCAAATGATATATTATTGTCGTCACCAACACTCAGTAGTTCTGTGGAATGGATTTCAAAATCAAATAACATTAATGAAATGGACGATCTTAAAGAAAAATGTAAAAAAGATTATAAAGACATAGGGGCAAGACGATTAAAACTGACAGAAAAAAACTCTCCTCTATTTCCACGTTACCTTAATTCACTTAGCAAAAACGAATATTTAAAACAAAACAAAAACAATATAGCAAAAACATTGGTACAACAAAATGAAAGTAAAACCATTAAAATGGACGACGACATCCAACTAGCTCCAATGGATTTATCGGTGAAGAATAGAGAAAACAATCTAGCAGCAGCAGTCAAGAGTAGTGTCCCTCAAATTTGTATACAGTTAAATGGTGGGTTGCTACAAAGTGAAATTTATGAGCCATTTAAGTTACTACCGTATTTAAAACCAGTTGTTGCTACAGTACAAAATATTGATAATCATGACAACAGTATAGGAGATTGCAGCTGCGATTGTCATAAAAAAATTATACCTGTACCGGTGTTATTGCAAAGTGGTTTGAAAAATCCACTGTACGTAAATTTACGGTAGTCTATAAAATTATAAACTAATTAAACTGAATCAAAATAGTGGAATATTGCATTAGTATTTTGTAAATACGTAACTACAATGTTGAGCGTTGTTTGTTACTGGAAGTGTTACATGGGTTTATTTTTTTCTCACTTCTCTATTATATTAAATCTAAATAAGGTAACAGATATTGTGTTATTATTTTACGCCATGCCATTAAAATGCCAGTTAGCATAGCATAATTATATATTAAAACTTTTAGCAATTATAATTTATATGATAATATTTACAAAAAAGTTGAATTTGGAATTTCAACTTTATGATAGAATTAAGAACTAGGCTTAGTCAGAACAATACTTTTCAGGAAAAGTGGCGTTCTTCTTGATAGCTTTGTAAGGAAATAGAAAGAACATTTTAAATTTCTAGACTAAAGATAAATACTTTGAAACATTAAAAAACTTAAACTAAATATTCATTAAAATAATTAACATAATTATGCAGTACTGAGTCAGTACTCCTAAATAATTCTATAATTAATAAATGTAATATTATTTAATATATCAACAAACTTTTTACTCATACTTAAAAACAATTTTTCAACGATACACTATTCGATACATTAATCATACTCTATCGTTTATAAATTGTTTTTAAGTTAATATATAATTACCAGTTGATTTTCATAAAATCATTAAATATTTATTTTAATAACAAAGAAATAATACTATGAAATAATTTAGATGTCTCTCTGTCTCTTTTTTTTATAAATATTTTAAAAGTTTTTAAGAGTATTAATAGTGATTGGCTTCAATTGTCATGATCATTGGATATTCGATTGTAATTATTCGGGTTATGATTTTGGATGCCTTGATTTTCACCCGAATCGTAGTATGCGGTTATATTATTGGGATAGTATTGGGTTGGGTACATATTAGTATCGTAGGGAAATCCTGTATCATATGAAGGTCTGATGAATTGAGTACCTTGAGCAATATTAAACAAATTCCTTCCAACATTACTAGGTAAAACATATTCGTTATGTGGAAATGTCATGTTAACTGCACTAGATATTCTTGCGTGGACAGGTTTTGGAATATCAGATGTAGATGAGCATTCTGCTTCAGTATACGAATCACTAGACTCTGAAGATTTTCTTTTGTTCTTCATTCTTCGGTTTTGGAACCATATTTTGATGCATTTTTCGCCGATGCCCAATTTTTGAGCTAGTTCTCGGCGGTCAATTCCAGTTATATATTGGGTTTTCTCAAACGTCTCTTCTAGCATTAACTGTTGATCCCAAGTAAAAGATGTACGCACACGCTTAGATTTGTACTTTCTAGGCTTACTCGATTCTGCAAACATTTCCAGTGTGAATAACAATCTATTAGCTACGTATCTGTACTATATAGTGGTTATATTGTGCTAAATTACATTGGATTGGTAAAATCTGTCAATTACAAAAATATGAACTAATTATGTATGCAAAGTGTCCCACAATAGGTGCAGCAAGTCGAAACGTGTCCATAAAATCAACAAGGTTTTAACAAATGAATAAAGCCTAAGTTGTAATTAGTAGTTTCATACAAAAACGAATTTATTAATTGTTCGATGACAGCCTTGAATTTATTATATCTAAAATTGTAATTTGCGTAATTGGAATTTGGTGGAAAGGACGTCTTACGTGAGTCCGCACGGGTAGCCTTCGTATTTCTAACGTGATGCAGTAATGCATTTCGGTTTGGAAAGTTTGGGGCAGCCGTTGTATTATAAAAAACTGAGACCTTAGAACTCATGTCTCAAGGTGGGTAGCAGCATGCTGTTGATGTCTATGGATTCCGGTAACCACTTAACACCAGGTCGGCCGTGAGCTTGTCCACCTACGAAACATGTTAAAACATAATTCAAGAGTTGAAAGAAGAATACTTTGATCGTTATGTTCAAGTATTCTTTATTCCGAATTGGCAAATTTTTTTTTGGCCATAGATTATTCTAATACAGCACTGTCTTCAGTTTTCAGCTTGATACCTAATTATTTTCCTGTTTTTTTTCCTTCCTATGCTGTTAGCCTTGAGAGGCTATTTCAGCGTAACCTTAACTAGTAGATGAACTCATGGGACTCAAACCTGACGACGTTGCTAACACGAACCCTAGCAAGAGCCGTGCTTCGTAGAATCTACCGCCGGAACGGAAACCCAACCCACTGAGAAGATCCGGCGAGAAACTCAGTGGGCTTTGTCTGTGGGTTAATTTACTCGTCGAGCCCTTCGTCGCAAGTGACGCCGCGACGGATTCGACGAGAACGATGACCGGAGATCTTTGTGGGAAAACCCTGAATTTACATACAAACAAATGCATGTAAAGACCTAAAATAAAATTATTACGGCTTTCCAGTATTCGTTTCGTATAAAAAAAATCTCTAAGCATTATCTGTAACTTATAAGGTAGTCTGTGCCACGTAGTCCATATCTAGTTTCATGCTATTTAACAAATACGAAACTAGTTACACTTTTTTTGTAGTTAAAAAAATATCATACCATTTTTTGTAACGTTTTCCGGAATCGCAGGCCATAGTGTGGCGAAATGCTGATTCTTCCATGGATTATTCTTAAACAAAACTTTCATTATAATATTATTCGAATAAATTTCGATTACTCAGTGTTACTCAGCGCTATGACATGTCCTTTTTCAAACGAGGCTTGTGGAGAATATTAAGCGGTAGGCAGCGGCTTAGCTCTGCCCCTGGCATTGCTGAAGTCCATGGGCGACGGTAACCACTCATCATCAGGTGGGCCGTAAGCTCGTCTGCCTACAAGGGCAATAAAATAAAAATAAAAAAAAGATGCTAAGCTTTCTTGAGTTTAGTTCAGGTTTAACTGGTATTAATGCATTTATTGGATATCAATCATAAACTACGGGTATTTATCTAATATATAAAATTCTCGTGTCGCGGTGTTTGTTGCCAAACTCCTTTGAAATGACTCAACCGATTCTCATGAAATTTTGTGTGCATATCGGGTAGCTCTGAGAATCGGTCAACATCTATTTCTCATACCATTAAATGCTGAGGGTGGTTCACCCAAAAAAATATATTCCCTAGAAATAATTTATATGGCAAAACAACGTTTGCCGGGTCAGCTAGTATATCTACCTATATATGTATGTATTTTTTTTTTATTGCTTAGATGGGTGGACGATCTTACAGCCCACCTGGTGTTAGGTGGTTACTGAAGCCCATAGACATCTACAACGTAAATGCGCCACCCACCTTGAGATTTAAGTTCTAAGGTCTCAGTATAGTAACAACGGCTGCCCCACCCTTCAAACCGAAACGCATTACTGCTTCACGGCAGAGCGGTGGGACCTACCCGTGCGGACATTTTTATCATGCTCGCGTAATTGTAGTTGCCACCCTATTAGTTCTGCAATTCCTAAGTTCTTGTTGAGTGTATTGCGTGTCTGGCATAAGTATGGGTGCCAACTACCATTCTACTTATTTCAGCTGTGAATTAATCATGGTCTTCGGTTTGAAAAGTGAGAAAAGACTTTTACCATACTTGTACATTGGCACTTTATGCCTCGATTTTGGTAACAGCATGGTCTATGTAGTTTTCATGCGAATCTGTAGCTGCTTTTAGTTTACTAAAGAAAGGGATAATGACATTAAGATTGTAGGTAGTGATGGATTTGTAGTAATTGGGCACGATATCTATTCAAATATTCCAAATTACGTACATACCTCATATGTATTACTGTGCGGGGTCAAAGCAGTTAACAGCATGTTATGAAACATTTTTCCCAAAAATCTATCCACCGCCTGACAACTAACTTAATCACTCTTCAATGAAAATTAAACAGAAATTCGTTTTATATCGGCAAAGCCAGCCTCAAGACGAAACTACCTTCGATTAAAAATAATGAAGGTAAGGCGTTCTGAAACGTCGACTCGGAACTACGAATGATCTGTGCGTTATAATTGAACTTTTTCTAATGAATTACGTACTCAACAAATGTTCACGACAAGGGCGGATCCAGCTTTGGCGCCAGGAGGGGGTCACATAGTCAAATTTAGATGCGTTCGTTCCCAAACGTTTGCCATTATACAAAGTTATTCATTTATATTAAATTAATTAAATATTGAATGTATGTAGTTACATAAAATCTGTACGGTGACAAAATATATAAATAAAATCATTATATTCAATTAGTGGTTCACCTAAGTCCTGGACCCAGCTCAGGGGGTGGTCATGACCCCCATGACCCTCCCCCTGGATCCGCCATTGGTTCACGATTGACTTTCACGAAGAAGGAACAACATCGTGTAATAAAAATGAAACCCGCAAAATTATAATTTGCGTAATTACTAGTGAGTCCGCGCGGGTAGGTACCATCGCCCTGCCTATTTCTGCCGTGAAGCAGTAATGCGTTTCGGTTTGAAGGGTGGGACAGCCGTTGTAACTATACTGAAATCTTAGAACTTATATCTCAAGATGGGTGGCGCGTTTACGTTGTAGATGTCTATGGGCTCCAGTAACCACTTAGCACCAGGTGGGCTGTGAGCTCGTCCACCCATCCAAGCAATAAAAAAAAAAAAACTATATAGTGGTCCCGCAGAAGTCGAAATTCGACTTTATTCAATTGAAATTTTATGTTTAAACATTATTATGGTTCTATTTTCAAAGACTATTATACTTCTATAATAACAAATTTAGCCAAGAATACATTATGGAAAAATATTAATAAAGAAAAACAATATTGAATCTATTCTCAATTTGACAACAGACGCCAAAAACAAAAGTTTGACAATAAATAGTATGCATGCGTGTGTGCGTCAAATACATGGTAGTGTGTGTAATGTTTTTTTTTATTGATTTAATGTATTTTTTAGGCATAATTTAAAAAAATATTAACATTTTGCACTCCTTCTCTATATTCTCTATAAGTGTGGGAGATTTCATATTCCTCCGTCCGCACAATTTTCGTAAAAAAGAATACAAAGTTTTTCCTTCACGTATTAATATATAGATAATAGCGGAGCTTTTATGTATCAAGTCAATAAATAGGTAGGATGACAAAATAAAAAAAATATGTTTTTTTAAATAAAATTTTATGAAAAACTATTTTTCTTAAAACAGAATTTTAGTTTTTTATGATGAGAATTATACTTTTTGTAGTCTGCTAAACATTAATAATATTTAAACTTCGATCTCATGACTCAAGGTCGATGGCGGCATTATATTGTCGACGGGCTCCGGCACTTAACATCAACTGAGAAAACAGCTCGTTCATACTAGTTCATTAAAGACATGAATATAATTTATTCCAAGTAAACTGTTATAACAAATTACCTCATAGTTTCATGTACATACTTAATTGATTTCATATAGGTATACAATATGTACATATGAATAGCGAAATGTATTAATGGTAGATGGTCAAACCAGCTCAGATCCCACCTATCACTAAAAACTATCACACCTATCACTAAAAATTTTTAGTGATAACTGAAACCCACAAGACTCCACAACGCGAATGTCGTCATCTACTTTGAACACGTCATTACTCTCGTCATTACCCCCGAGATTAATTTAAAATTGTATTTTAACCATTATTGGAACGAAGTTCCTTACGGCAGGCTTGGAGGGGATAGGGATTTTGCTGCGCGACCGAACTGAAAAAAATGTGATAGTAAAACCGTAAGAAAAAATCCGTGAAAAAAGTGCGTGGAAAAAATCCGTGGAAAAAAGTGCGTGGAATAAAACCGTTAAATGAGACGTGCGCAGGCGCGACAGTCGTATACACAAGCGAGTAGTGTATAATACCTTTCTCTTTCTCCCTCTTTCTTTTCGTTCTCTCATCCCTTCTCTCCCTATTTTGTAATTATTTCTATTTCTATGTAATTTTATGTTGTCAAACAAAAATAAAGAGACATATTTTGTTATTTTAATTGATAATTTGAATTACGATTTTATTTTTATTTTACGTAATTTATTATTTCCTAAAATACTGAATTTCCTAAATACTTTCCTGTACTTAAATAAAAACTAATCAGCAAAATTTAAGAGAAAAATCAAGAAAACCAACATAAAATTGAGCACGATTTTTTTTTTGCAAATTGTGTCGATTCTACATTAACCGAAGGAACTTCGTTCCTACCTGGTGTCCCACGACACCACATTTTTGGAACGAAGTTCCTTACGGCAGGCTTGGAGGGGATACGGATTTTGCTGCGCGACCGAACTGAAAAAAATGTGATAGTAAAACTGTAAGAAAAAATCTGTGGAAAAAAGTGCGTGGAATAAATCCGTGGAAAAAAGTGCGTGGAATAAAACAGTTAAATGAGACGTGCGCAGGCGCGACAGTCGTATACACAAGCGAGTAGTGTATAATACCTTTCTCTTTCTCCTTCTTTCTTTTCGTTCTCTAATCCCTTCTCTCTCTATTTAGTAATTATTTCTATTTCTATGTAATTTTATGTTGTCAACCAAAAATAAAGAGACATATTTTGTTATTTTAATTGATAATTTGAATTACTATTTTTTTTATTTTACGTAAATTATTATTTCCTAAAATACTGAATTTCCTAAATACTTTCCCGTACTTAAATAAAAACTAATCAGCAAAATTTAAGAGAAAAACCAAGAAAACCTACATAAAATTGAGCACCATTTCTTTTTTTGCAAATTGTGTCGATTCTACATTAGCCGAAGGAACTTCGTTCCTACCTGGTGTCCCACGACACCACATCTTTATTTTTATTTAAATTTGATTTATGTAGTATAAGCTATTATATTATGTATAAACATATTAAAATTTTTGCATAAAAACTTGGCCTGCACTCCTTTTAAATATCCAATTATAAAGCACTTAAGTATTCTGAAATATGGTTTTAAAAGGCTATGAATTTTCTCAATTGGAAAAGCACACTTTCGAAACATAGCTATGAGCATTCAGACCTACGTATTAGTTAGTATAGTTCAGTTCTGTCTGTAAACTGTATTTTTGAAAAAAAAAATCGCCTTAGTATTATTATTTTTTTTATTTTTTTTTTTCATTTACATTATTTCAAATAATTCGTACTGAAAAAAATAGATTTGAAAAACGTTTAATTACATTGGAGATTCCAATTCTTTCTTTCTCATTCTCGTAATGTTCATATTTATTTTTTAAATGATTATTGTTTTAGAACGCATCTTTGGACTAGTATTTATTTCAAATTGAAGGTAGACGTATCCATTATTTTTGTCAAATACGAATTTAGTTATTATTTGAAGGATAATATTATAGTTTACGAACAAAATGTTTCAAAGCATTCTTCTATCAGATTTGACACCACATAGTAACACTTATGAGGTAAGCTCGATTGCTTATTTTATTACTTGTTGAAAAAGCATCAAAGTTTTACCCTAAGAGTACTGATTTGTTAGATAATTTAAAAACAAATTACTTTTGTGAAAGCGACATGAAAAATTTGAAGTTCTAAATTCAATTTGTCATCTTAATAATGAAATTTATCATTTTATTTTAACAATTAAATAATTGAAGAATTACGCATTGTTTCTAGCAAACACAATGGGAAAATGGCATGCCATTCACAGAATCGTCCACAGTTCCGGAATGCGATACAAAAAAAGGTAAGAATTGTCCAATATCTATCTTGTCATTGATATTTTTTTATGTAATATTTAATTCAATCAATTGATAAAAAAAATTATATCTCAATCTATATTTATATGTAAAATTTGACTAGATATTATTCTTTACTTCCCTTTAGATTTTAGTTTGGATTGACATCTCTATGGCAATGAAGCTTAACGAATGGTTTCATTCTTCTACTTTTTTCATTCGTGTCGGTTACTAAGGTCTAATTTCACTATAACTATCTTCGATCAATCGAAGATAACTATGACGTCGAAACCTCAATGTTTTTTTTTTAGTTGCTTATATTGGTGAACGAGGTCACAGCCCACCTGGTGTTAAGTGGTTACTGAAGCCCATAGACATCTACAACGTAAATGTGCCACCCATCTTGAGATATAAGTTCTAAAATCTCAGTATAGTTAGAACGGCTGCCCCACCCTTCAAACCGAAACGAATCACTGCTTCACGGCAGAAATAGGCGAGGCGGTGGTACCTAGCCGCGCGGAATTGAAAGAACGCCCTCCTGTTGTTCAAACTGGAATGCAATGTATGCTTTTGATTCCGATAGACACAGGATGGTGACATGTATGGGCTCCGAATACATAGTAATAGTAACTTGGACGGCAAAGTCATTGCCTCTGAAAAATAACCGAATCGACTAAAAATGTGTGAAAAAATGTTCAATTAGTTAAATATAACATTCATCGCTAACATTACAGAGTCAATAAAAACTGCAAGGAAGAAATGCAAACGTTTACGGACAAACTTTACATGGGAACAATTACGGATGTTAGAGAGTACATTCGAGAAGACAAATTACATTCACGTAAGCCACCGGCGAGAGCTAGCTCAGAAATTGGGCATTGAGGAAAAATGCATCAGAAACTGGTTCCAAAATAGGAGAATGAAAAAGAAAAGGCAATCTTCAGAGTCAAGTGATTCTTTAGCTGAGCCAGAGACAATGATTCCTCAACCATTGAGTAATTCACCAGTAATAAATCCAGACTATAATTTCGTATTACCTAGTAATCACGGTGAGAATTTGTATGCAACTTCTGATGTTGCCCAAACATCAACCAATTCACTCGATGCAGAACTTTGTTACGACACCAATATGGACTATACGTACACCCAATATTATCCAATTAATACATTAACATACAACAGTTCGGTACAAGATACGTCCTGTCAATATTACGAAAAAAATAATTATTGGTGCCCAAACAATTTCAATAACTTTAATAATTTAAAAGAGACGAACTAATTCGATATTTTATGATTTTCCAAAATAATATGAAAATAGCTCAGTTCACTGATAAATTTGGTTCGTTTTTACCGATTTTACGTCCACACCTAATCATACTATTGCTACATAAATCATAAACCGCGCCAATAATCAGCGGATTCATAATTTTACCCACAATTGCTGAAACCTTGCGACGACTTAGCCCTCGTGAATCGATCAATAATTCTGAATTCATTTTTCTAATCTGTTAATTATTGGTAGTTGTAAACTAGTTTTATTTTTATTATTAGTAATAGTTATTATAAGTACGTATGCATATTATTTTTTATAAATTTAATATATTTTAATATAAAAAAGATTTATTTTTACATATAATTTCCAGCTCAGATGGATGAGATTATTTTATTAAGTTGACAAAGCATAAAGTAAAAAAATTGTGTAAAGATAATATTGTTTTATAACTTCAATGTTGCTCTTTCTAGATGGTGCATTAGCTGTTTTTATTGGTTATACGGGTCAACGAGCCCACGGCTCACCTATTGTTAAGTAGTACCAGAGCCTATAAACAAATACGACATAAATACCACCAACCGCCTTAAGACATGAGTTATAAGTCTCAATTCTATAGTGCCAAGGCTGGCTTTCAAACTGAAACGTATTACTGCTTCACCACAGAAAAGGCAGGGTGGCACCTACCCGTGAAGACTCACAATACGCCTTACCACCTGTAATTGGTATATGCAAATATATTTTTTGTAGGTAAATTTGACGTTATCGATTTAAAGTCATCTAACCCTAAGATGTTCTTGTTTGCTGTAAACTCCTGGGTTGTTAATGTATATTTACTACAATGTTTTATCAAATTAATTATAATTTAATTAAAGTATTTATTTTTTAAGTGTTGTCTAAATAAAAAAACTAAAATTGTGAAACGAATTTCTAAGAAATCTAATTGTATATTTTCTATAAAGCACGGACATTATTAGTAAATTATAAATTATAATAGTATTGTAACAAAATAGGCTTAAAAATAGGTTAAATCAATTCGAAAATTTAAAAGTATTTTTTATTGAAATAAATTACATAATGCAAAAACAAATTGTTTTTTAATCGCAAACAACACTAAGCGTTGAATGTTTTGTTATAACTTCGTAATATATCTAGTCATTTTGGCGGATTAGGATTTGGTATTTCTATAGCAGCTAGTATGAACTGAGAATTCGTTGAATTGGTATGAAATAATACAGGCCAAGAAATACCATTCTTTTTACATTTACAACAGCGTTTTTTTTCACTGTCTCCCTTTTCATTGCATGTTTTTGAAGTACTCGCAGGTATATCTTGTCCCAAGCTTGGAATAACAGGTTTGTCAATTACATTTTTCGGAGGCATATACGACTGAGAATCAATTAGAAATATACGTGGGCTGTCGGCTGTTGCTGTGATATCGCCTTGGTTCTCTACAACACTATTTTTCAGTGATAAATCTAGCGGATTTTCTCGATTATGGTTGATTGATTTTGTTATATTTCCAGTTGCTTTCATGTTTGCTTTTTCTGGATAGTTTTGTTTGATATGTTCGTTTTTTTTAGATAAATCAATATAATAGGGGAATAGAGTAGAGCCTTCATTTGTAATCAAAAATTGTTCTTCGTTATCTTTATCATACGATTTGTTGAGATCATCAATTTGTTTACTAGTACCAGGTTGTGGAATAGTTTCCACAGTATTACTCATTAATGGCAATGAAACGGACGCGTCCTGTGTTGATGTACTGGCGTAGCTCGATGGATCTTGAACAAATGGTATGTTCTGTGAACTTTCATCTTCTTCATAGTTGTCAATGAGACATAACTCTTTCTTTTCCTTCATTCTTCTGTTTTGGAACCAAATCTTTATTACCTTCTCTGGTACATTTACTATATTTGCTATTTCTTTACGTTGTACAGCACTTATGTAATGGGATTTCTTGAATTCATTTTCTAAATAATTTATTTGCTCAGTAGTGAAAGCGCTCCTTATTCTTTTGCTTTTTTTGGCTGGAAAGGAAAGTTGTTGAAAACGTTGCATCTGTAAAGTAAAACCAAATAGAATTAACACTTGCTGCATTTTGCCATCATGTATTTTTATTACTATTATCGAAGAAGCCTACAATTTTAAAAGAAATTATATATTATATACAAAGTGGTAATATCGCTTATCAGTAATTAATGGGTTACATGCCAAATTATTATTACTGGTGGTAGGACCACTTGTGAGTCCGCACGGGTAGGTACCACCGCCCTGCCTATTCCTGCCGTGAAGCAGTAATGGGTTTCGGTTTGAAGGGTGGGCCAGCCGTTGTAACTATACTGAGACTTTAGAACTTTTATCTCAAGGTGGGTGGCGCGTCTACGTTGTAGATGTCTATGGGCTCCAGTAACCACTTAACACCAGGTGGGCTGTGAGCTCGTCCACAAATCTAAGTAATAAAAAAAAAATTACTGCTCAGGCGGTGGATAGTGGTAGATAGTGATTTTGTTGTACACACAAAAGAATATTTTTAAACTTGGACAAATAAATTTTATAATATAGTGCTTTGATAACACCCAGGAAGTAAATTCACATAATATAAATTGTCAAAACTCAAATTTGGAAGGTGGTGCGTTGTCGAACAGAGGTGTTGGTATTATTTAGAATGATTCATTAAGGCACCGCAAAATCGTGTTCCATGATATTCGATTCAATACGTACACAGGGAACCTAATTGTTCTGGTTCGAATGATAGGTATGTAAAAAAAAAAAACTACAATATATTAACGAAAACGTATCGTTTTTACTTTAGTATCTTTATCGTCATAAACAAAAGCACTTAAGTAGAAATTATATTTTTTTGTTCAGTCTACGAAAATATTGCGAAGACTATAAAAACAGAAGACATGCAAAAGAAATTAACAGAGTCATCTACACAATTTGACAATGAAGATCCTCATAGACTTAAAAAGAAAGTACATATACTTAATTATTTTTTATAATAAAACACAATTAAATACGCTACGTACTGTTCAAATAGATATGTACATTCCACAGTTGCACTAAATCTTTAAATATAACAGAGCAATACTCAGACTGAGCTCGAAATTTAATAAAAATTACTAGGTTTTATACAAATATTATCAAATACCCTCATTTTTAGCAGCGATCATCATGAATATCGTTAAATCACGCATGCGTCGTGTGATTTTCTTGAGAGCATTGATGCGTAAGAATCTTTAACTAGGCTGTGGAGTACTCTAAAATATTGGTGCAGAAAATCATTGTTTTATTCTCGTACATATTCCAAATAAATGAAGTACTTAATATACCTACGTGAAAGTATTCAAATATTTGAAATTTATTATTAATAACTTTTACTAGTACTGATTTTTTTTGTACAAATAATTTACATCGATTCTTTTTTATCAGTTCACGACGATAAAAATAAACTAGTTCTATAAAATAAAACAATTACTGTTAGTTTTTGACCACGAGTTGTTATCATTAAGACGTTAATTTGGAGGATTTCAAAGAGGAAAACCAATTTAATAATGACTAATTTGAGTTATTAATGTATTTTAGTTAGATCAGATAGGCAATCAAGATCACGGTTCGCCAAGTGTTAAGTTGTTATCGGAAACCGTGACCGACACTAAGTATAAGCCAGAATAAAGCTTAGGCTTTAAACTGGAATTCACGAATGCTTTGTGATAAGCTTTGGTAGGATCAGGCTTCGAGCTTGCAATGCACAATACCATCTTTATGTTTTGGGGCAGGGGACAGAACGGTACAAACACCTGTGGAGTTACGTGCAGACAGTATTACAGTTAGAGGTTGTTGATATTATTGTTTGTGTAGTTATTAATTGATGAATAACTGGACACACCATTATCAATTTAAAATATTCTGACTTATGGTATTTAATAGAGAAATAGCATTTGTGTCTCGCGGAGTTGATTAAACCTCAAAGCTATATGTTTTGACTGTCAGTCTTCAAGATATTAGAAGTTCTTATTGTGCCCAAATTCTAAACGAATCTAAACGAAAGAACGACTGGTTGTATATTCGTTTACATGTCCACGCTCCGCTGTGACTCTCGCCCGCCAAATTGTTTAAAATGTTTTCGCACCACCTCGCGTAAGAACCACGAAAAACCTTCCATGAACGCAAAGAACAACTGAACCAAGTTTTAAATAAATTGGTTTAGCAATGCAAACTCATAAATTACTACTAAGCAAAGTCAATTTTATTAATAATATTTGATAATTTTATACTGAAATTATAATCAGCGAATTACAAAAACGTAGATTTTTTTAAAAGGCTTATGGCATCAATGTTGGGCATCATCATTTTATTTACAATCATAGCGTGTAGAACAAATTTTAGGATCATCTGATGATAAGTGGTCACCGGCACTCATGAATATCAGCAGTGTCAGAGACAATCGATTCTCTAGCCAACCCATTTTAATTTGTTGATAAAATATTGCATATTTAACATGTAAAAAATACAATGCAATGTAAAACTAAATTACAATTATTTCTTAGAATTTTTTGAGCTCTTTTTGAAATAAGGTGGTCTGTCAGTTCTTATGATATCAAATTAAGAATCTAATCTAACATTATTTATAATAAAAAAAATTGTTTTCAATACTTTTCTGTAATTAAAAGGTCGAAAGCGCCCATAAATATTTGCAAGGTAAATGCCGCCACTAGCCCGTAGACAATAGGTCAAATTCATTCATCGTAATTTCAGTACTTACGATTCTTTTACCCTAGGGTGTGAAAGCGTTACGTGTTACAAACTCGGATGCTAACTACCATTTCTCAAGACGCTCAGATGAAAAACTTTATTTCCATACAATCTGTTTATACCATTATACCAATATTTTAGATTCCCTCTGCATAAATTAGCAAATGGGTGTTAATTGCATTTACCATTTTAACAAAGATTTAGAATGTATTCTCACTCTAGTTTCTTGTTTATAATTTTATTTCATTGTAAATTTTTACAAATTGCGAATTTTTATACAAATGAGTGTATTTTAAATTAAATTTACAAATAAACAAAATAGCTTTTCTAAATATTATATACTCAGAAATATGGAACATTATCTCATGTTAAATTGTAAATTATGCAATTAAGATGGATTAGTTAGTTATAAGGAAACATACGACGGCGGTAACTTGTTGTTGGAAGCGGAGGCTAATTGATTAGCATTTTCCGCAGACGTTAAATATGAAAAGTATGAATCTTGGCTTAGTGGTAAAGTAGAGGTTCTTGTAGTAAAACTGCCTTCATCATAAGTAGGTGTCGGAACCGAAGTGATAGCATTAAATCCATAAGAATCTGTTGGTGGATGATGCATCACGATACTATTAGATAATGAACTGTAATACGAAGTATTAGAAGTGAATCTTGTCATGTCCTCGTTTAACTTCAAATTTATTCCGTTTGGAACATAGCTATCTGATGTTAGCGGCGGTAACGTAGAATTCGACGGTAGTGAGTCATCGTTAGTGTACCGATAAACTTCAGACAGAGGTGAGTAAGCTGCACCACTCGTGCCGGCAGCATAGTACGACGAATAAGATAGATTCGGTGTATATGATGGCAATTCGATTGTTCCCTGCTGTCCTTTTATTGTAGATTTCATTGAATTCATTGCACTGTAATCAGGAGGTCTGGTAATATTGTCGTTCGCTGAAGTGTATATTTTGTGATGGCTCGCGTGACTGTCGCTCAGCAATCGCCTGTGTCTATCATGACCTCCGCAACTTCGCACATGGCTCAACTTGTGATCTTGACTAGGAGATAGCTCCTTGGAACTCGAAGGACTGCTATCGTCCACAGACGACGATGGCTTGTTATGTTTATTGTCCTTTTTGTATTTCATTCTTCGGTTTTGGAACCAAATTTTTATTTGTCGTTCGGAAAGTTGTAAATAATTTGCCAGCTCTATGCGTCTTGGTCTGCATAAGTACCGATTCTGGTGGAATTCATTCTCTAGTTCGACTAGCTGAGAACTGGTGTAAGCAGTTCTAGCTCGTTTTGTGAAGCCCTTTTGAAACGGTGGTGATGTAGATGACATTCCTGAAATTAGTATTGTAATTTTTAGAGACAAGTTGAAGATGTTAGATTAGGTTAAGCAAAAAATTAAAATATTTACAAGATGAGAAGTGAAAAATTGGAAGGTGTACTTTAACCGGTTTTGAATAATTTTATCGCTATTATAGGCAGATTAACACATGGTGTACCTAATTATGTCTGATAACCGTGGCCTACTGCGTAAGAATTCTTTGAAACCTCCTTTGAAGAAGGACATGTCATAGCGTTTAGAAAACACCTTGGAGTTCAGTCTAGGTCGAGATGGTTCGTGGCAAGAATGATCTCTGGAATTGAATTATGGAAGAACGTAGTGGTTTCAACTAATAATTTTTAATTGATATATTTAGCTACATTTATTATATTTAACAGCGAAGGAGATTACCTGTTCCTGATATGGATGTTGAGGCTCTTACGATAGGTGTACTTAAAGACGTGTGGTTGGTCCAAGAAGAGTTCTGTAAAAATATATTAATTTAAACGCGTCTCACTTTTACTAGGTATCACACCACAATAAGGTATGTTCGACCTACTTCTTAATGGCTATTATCAATATAAAATTAAATTGTCATTAAAATCCGGTTATTCTGCGGTAAAACTCATTGTCGACGACATTTCAAAACTCGTGCTGGCCGATCATTTAGTGTCTGGGGTCCATATTGCCAAACTATCCTTACCTGATTGTTGAAACCAGATTCTTGTAAGTTAATTTTTTCGTGATCCTTTGCGTCCGCAATCAATCCCCTTCGTTCATATTCGATAAGTTCTTTATCAGCGTAATCTCTATCGTAAAGAACTTGACTGTTTATTTGCGAAGAAGTGGAATTGAACAAAATATCATCTTTTGTCAGACATCCTTCCGCTGTTACTTCTTCAGTTCCAGAACAATAATTTTGACCGATGTTATTGACATTTTCGTAGTTTGACAATTGATAATCGTATCTTATTTGGGTTTCATCCGGCATATGAGGTTGAGTGAATGGTTGATGCAATCCAAGAATGTCGTGAATAGTAAAACCAGTCGAATCTCTGGAATTGTAGTCTTGCACGAAAGCACTAGGTATCGGAGATAAAACCTCGACTTTACAATCAGAGAAGGTATTATTGCCCATAGGATAATTGACATCTTCAGTGATAATATCTTGGATCGTATGAGAAGACAGTCCGCTAGGCCTAAATGCGCTTTTCTCTTGGGTGACAATTATATTGTTTATATTGTGTTTTTCAATGGTAGCGTTAGAAAATTCTGATGACGTGGAATTTCTCGAGTCATCGTTATCTGATACCACGCTTGGTGGGGATGGCGTCACTGACGACATATCTCATACCCTGCATGAGACCACTCTCACTCACACAAACAGTTAATTCACTTAATAAAATTTTACAAGCGCACAGGTTGTACATCAAAATTTGTATCACTAAACATTTAAACGACCGGACAGATTGAGGCTTGTTTACAAAATGCTTTTTGTCACCTGTTTGTGGTTAATTTGGTAATGACTTCGTTCATTTGTGTGTCTTATTTTAGGAGGGCTTTTTGCTTGTGTGCCTCCGATAAGCCTAACATACTGGGTTTCAGATAGTGGACAGTCAATAGATAATAGTTTAGAATTGGTAACGGTAGCACGAATGCTTGTCACAAATGTTTATCGTAAATCACTAAGAAATTCTCCTGTCCAAAGAGTAATCATTTCTTTACCTATTTTTATTTTACTGCAGAGAAACGTAGTAATATTATATTTAAAAACGTGGAAGAAAAATATGGGCTTTTCAACTTTTATATGCAGTCATATAAAAGTTGAAAAGTCCATATGTATTTTTATCCATAATTTTATTTACATATAAAATTATCAATTTCAGTAAATTGATAATGTGTTTTTATACATATATATAATATGTTTTTTAATGAAAAAGTGCACCGAAGTCTTCGTTCGTAAATAGTCTACGAATTTTGTACAAGCGTATTAAAATCAAAAACGTTTTATTAAACGCTATATTTTATTTTACATAAAATCTTAGCGAGCATTTTTTGGGACTCTGCGTTGGTTACTGTCATATTTCATAAGATTAAATAATAGGTACTGTGTACTTTTACTGTATTAACATTGTACGGAGGATGACTGCGCTACACAAACTTTATAAAAATGCATCATTTTGCTGCTGTGCAACTAAAATATTAATCTTACTAATGGTAGGACATCTTGTGATTTCACTCAGGTAGGTAAGCAGGTTCCACCGTTCTTCCTATTTTTGCCGTGAAGCAGTAATGCGTTTCGGTTTAAAGGATAGGCCAGCCGCTGAACTAAAAAACGGAGACCTTAGAACTAATTTCTCAAGGTGGATGGCGGCATTAACGTTGTAGATGTATATGAGTTACGGTAACCACTCATCACCAGCTAAGCTAATCCAACCACCTAAGCAATAATTAAATTCATAATGCTTCTAAGTAGTGAAATAAACTATATTGATGATGAGTACCGCGAAGATGTAACCCAATACCCCAAAGAGGCTCGAAGAAAGCATCTTTATTGAGTATCGGATGGTTTGTGAGATCAAGATTGAATCAAAAGAGGCAAGTTATATAAATATATTTTAATACAGAAGAAGCACGTGATACGTACGAGAGAGCAGTACTGCTTGACCGAAGCTGTTGAAAAATGGAAAAGAGATTATCTGAGAGTTAATAATTGTAAATGAACATTTAATTTGTACTGGCTCAACAATGCATACTTTTTTGGTAGGCAACCAGACGTTCTACCGTCAAAAGTGAGATAAAACCCTATGACAGATGCGTAAAACCACAATTTATTACGTGGGTAATGTAGGTCCCTACCTACTTCAACTGATACCAAACTCATTAAGATAGAAGCGAATTCTACATACGTACCAACCTACTTTATTATTTTAGATAAACTTCCTTGTGACAGAGTTTACAGATACTCCACTCAATTATCAATAGGTATATTTAGTAAAATTTTAATATCTATAATAATACTATCTGGCCCGGCAACGTTGTTTTGCCATATAAATTAGTTCTAGGAAGGTTTTGAATAGCCTAGATACCGACTGCAGCGCCATCTGCCGGGCTGATTTGTGAATTTAAATCATCCGGGGTGCCACCCAAACGCATACACAAAAATCATTAAAATCGTTTAGGAGGACTAAACGGCTGGACCGATTTTAATGATTTCAGTGACAAAAATACGCACAGAAGAAATAATATATAAAGATTATAAATACGAAAATTTGTTTCGTATGGTACCCCATACGGTTTTGGAATGATCTATCACAGCGTTTTCTGAGCCCTATAGCATTTTCCTCATCAAACGAGGTTTGAGGAGAGTAATTAGGGATAGGCAGATAGGGATATGATAGATATTGAAATCATCCACGAACGATAGTACCCGTTCACCATTAAATGAGCCGTATACTCGGCTGCTTATCAAGGCAATGAAAAATGTTTAATAGTTGTTATACAATGCGGTTTCGATCCAGCGGTAGTTTCAACGAAGTGCTGCTCTTACAAGGGCTAATGTTAGTAAGTACTCTTAGGTTGAGCCCCGTGAGCTTACTTAACGGTACGGGCGTGGTTGGAATAACCGCTACCAACGATTAGGTAGGCAAAAAAAGTTGTACAAAACTTCAAAAATGTTGAACCGGATATGGGTGAAATTTCACACAAATATAGTACCTACTTACTGTATTTATGCTCAATATGTTTTGCCTAGATTGACTACTATATAAACTTCGGGTATATGTATCTGCTATAGTAAATACTACAGTATGTTCGCCAGTTTCTGATTTAACGGACATACGGATTCACATATCGACTAGTAGTTTATAGACCAATGAGTCAAAAACTACCTATCCCGGGAAAATGCAACGAATTTAAATATTTCTGAACTAGCTTTTGCCTGCGACTTCGTCTGCGTGGAATAGTTACTTTGGCATAACGCTAAATTTTACCCACAACTTAATTTACGTATAAAGTGAAAATATTTTAGAATAATAGAATGCTAAGGAGTTATTTAAGGTACCAAAATCACACTATTTAACCGACTTCAAAAGAGGAGGCCATTCGACCACCATTTTTTATCTATCTATATTCACCGATTTCTCAAGAATGCGTGAAACGATTCTGATAAAAAAAAAACTTTTCTTGTTCTGAAGAGCAGACTTCTCGAGTTGTCCTGTAATCATCAAGATCTGATGATGGGATACTGGAGAAGTCCAGAAAAATCTATAATTTCCAAAGCCTATCTTGAAGTGATTTGGGTGTATTCTTGTTATTAAGTGCCACCGCGCACCGACCGGGCGCCCGGGCGGCGCCTTGTATATCAATATTACGCGCTTGATCATTGTTTTGCTACGATGTTATTTTGAAACTGCGATATACTCTCATACTCATTATAATACTCATAGCTAGATACCCATTAAAATCAAGTGTGGGCAAATTTCTTTAAAATTAAATACTTTTAATGAATAACATATTTATTTGGATAAGAATTAATATTATCTTCATAAAAACACCTTCACAAATAATGCTTTATTTTTGAACAAATTTGATTAGCATAAAATATAGATATTATTTAACAACATACAATTTAATATTATTTAACGGTAGGCAGCGGCTTGGCTCTTCTCCTGGCATTGCTGAAGTCCATGGGCGCGGTAACCACTTACCATCAGGTGGGCCGTATGCTCGTCTGCCTACAAGGGCAATAAAAAAATATATATGTTGTCTGCAGACTTTTTTTAGAACTTTTAAACGGGAACAATTCTGTCATACATGATTTTAGCGAAACTTTAACCGTTTCCGCAGCGCACGCAGCGGAAGTTCTCAAAAAGAAAAAAAACACGATTTGAAACATTTTTTATTGGTACTCTGCTTGTATTGGTTTTTTGGCGTTCAACTAAACAAACAATCTCTTCAGCTTTATAATATTAATTATTATCGATTAGCACTTCAGTGAGATCCAAGCCACGTCTACTGTAAAATAAAAGTAACCTAGTTGAGTTTAAGTGGTTAACGAATCTAATATAGACCAAGATTAAACTCAATGTTCTATTGATTGAAATAACTTTGCTAAGGGTTTTTTTAAACGCAAGGAATGATTTTATAAGGATAATCCCGAATCTGGGGATCTGACTCACCGACTGTGTCACGGATACTCCGAATGAATTATAATGTAGGTAATTCATTACCTAATGATTTTTACTATATGCGTATTGTATCAATGTCATTATTTTCGAGTTCAATTTTTACTGTATTCACATCATTTATTTCATACTTTTTCTTCAATTTCTAACCTCATTTCATATATTAATTACAGGCGGCCAAGTGTGTTGTGAGATTTATATAACTATTTATGCCGTGAAACTTTCTGCTCTATAGGAGGGCTAGTTTTTTTATGTCATTGTGACAATCTGTAACGGCAGGCGGCGCGGCGATTGTACCACGTACCTACCAGTGGATCGTGCTAATGAATAAAACAAATTGTGAGCCATCGCGGGAAGGCTGGCAGATGTGAAACATTGATAAGTAATAATTCGTACAGGTATGTATACCGGATGTTACAAAATACCCCGTAAAAAATATAATTAATTATCAAAGCTAAAAATTTTGTCAACCCTATTAAGCTGTCATGTTCGGGAACCAGATTATTTTACAGAAAGGCCTACGTAGCTGTTGTACCTAATAATTGTCTACTTTAATAGTTTTTATATTTTTCATACATAAATGTTTGCTACCACAATACAAGGATATTAGACGTCTTCAGCTCTAACACTAGGAGCAGGCTTAGGGACCCCGGTAACCGTACTCGTCGAACTCGACAAAGAGTTCGACGTGCAACCTAACCCATGAATCAGCTCGCTGAGTTTCTCGCCGGATCTTCTCAGCGGGTCGCGATTCCGATCCGGTAGTAGATTCATTCGCAAAGCAGCTGCTCTTGAGCGGTTAGGTCTCCTTCGGAGGCACTCGGGCAGCTGTTAGTTATCCCACCCCTTCTGGCTGAGCCTTTGCTCGCCCACCTATCCTGGTGAAACTGGAAAGGCCTCCAGGCCAGTAATCCTTCCTCAATCATAAAAAAAACAAGTAAAATATATTGTCATTATACTCAAGTACTGGTACTGGTAGAGATATCTCGACGAGTGAGGTTGTGTATTGAAAAAGGCGGATCACACTTTGAGCCGTTTCTGTAAATTTGACGTCTATAATGAAAAAGAAAAAGTAGATTGTTTCGTTAGGTTAGGTCTTTTAAAATTTTTGTCGTTCCACGAATTAGGTAAAAATGTAGGTACATTCTGCGTAGTTTAC